AAATTGACCTCAACAGTTTTCAAAATCGCCCAAAAAAAGCTTTTAATGTTTTGAACTGATCGACAAAAATTGCTTGGTAATTGTTTTTACAACTAAACAAATTCTGACATATTATTTTAACCGTGACCAGAACTTTATTTTAACAGAAACACTGGGCTATACTATGAATAGGGTAAACGGACAGAAAGTCACAGGAAAAAAAGTCACAGGACATAAAGTCACAAATTGGATAGGACAAAAAGTCACAGGACAAAAAGTCACAAATAATTTATTGACAATTGTTTGAATATATAAGAGAAAGATCTTCAAATAATTTCTTTTTTACATTTATTTATTTTTAAGTTCAGGAAATTGTTCATAAGCCTTGATAAATGAAAAATTATTAAATTTTAATCATGCAAATAATATATTTCTTGGCACCATGAAGCCATTTAAGTGCCAAACCACTTTGACATTTTGTTATCATAACAATTATTTGATCATCATTGATATTTATTGAATAAATTTTAATTACAAAGTTGCTTCATATATTATAGTTCAATAAAAAATAAAAAAATTATTTTTAAAATTAGTGTTTTCTTGTTCAGAGAAAAATAATCTCAAAACTGAATTGTGACTTTTTGTCCTGTGACTTTTCGTCTGTGACTTTTTGTCCTGTGACTTTCTGTCCTACATTCTACTATAAATAGTATTCAATCAGGAACAAAAATAGTCATTTAACATGTCAAAAAAAGAAATCAGAAAGCAACTTTTCCATATAAAAAATATGTAGCCAGTAGAATTTTGTCTCGTGGAAAACTGATTTTATATCTGTTTTAATTTAATTATGTTTAATTTTTGATTGACCTAGAATTACATTATTTGTGGAACCTTTGCATTAATTTCCTAAATGAACGTAATTAATGTATAGTGTTGTAGAAATCACTATTTTGCTGCCATGAAATATTGAATATGAATCTGTCATTATTTGTAGTTTTTTAAAGACTTAATATCACAGACCCTGATTAAAAACAATGTGTATCATAAGTACAGTAAAATGCTCTGCTGAACTGTAGAATTTTAATGTTCTGTTTCATAGACCACAGAAGTACTGCAACATCCTTATCTTTACTCTTTCCTATCGGGTAGTGAAACTCGAGTTTGAAATTAGAAAGATTTAAAATTGTAGACAAGTTTTATCTGATCTTTTGTGGGTTTATGTTTCAGTGCAGAGCTATGTGTGCTGTTATTTTCTTTTCATTTGTCTTTTTTTTCCTCTGTGTTACACGACCTTGTACTTTTTGTATTGCCCCTTGACACCTCCTGCTTCTGTTTAAACCTTTACCACTAATATCTCATCTGGTTTAAATAAAATAGTGTCTCATTCCCGGAATTTGTTATACAGGAATACATTTTAATATCAGTTTTTTTATAAGCATATAAACTGCTTGGTCTCTTCACACAACTTATGTTTAGGACGAAATGCATCAATAGGTACATACATGTACCAGGTCACGGATATATAAGTACACGTTATGTGCTTTTGACCTCCACAAAAATTCTTAAACATTCATAGATGTGCAAAGAATATTTTTGTCGTTGGGTTGTTGTCTCATATGTGTATATATGTCTCTGATTTAAGATTTTTCCATATTTTATTAGCAATTGACCCGTCCCTGTTTTCAAATCATGTGACACGCCACACTTCCGGTTAATCATGGGAACATCCACATAATAGAAAAGCTCATCCACATAATAGAAAAGCTCATTCACATAATAGAAAAGCTCATCCACATGATAGAAAAGCACCTTCGTATAATAGAAAAGCACCTTCGTATAATAGAAAACCACCATCGTATTATAGAAAACCACCACCGTATAATAGAAAACTACCTTCGTATAATAGAAAACCACCTTCGTATAATAGAAAACCACCATCGTATAATAGAAAACCACCTTCGTATAATAAAAAACCACCTTCGTATAAAAGAAAACCACCATCGTATAATAGAAAACCACCTTCGTATAATAAAAAACCACCTTCGTATAATAGAAAAGCACCTTCGTATAATAGAAAAGCACCTTCGTATAATAGATAAGCACCTTCGTATAATAAAAAAAACACCTTATTATAATAAAAAAGACACATAAGACAGCTATGGCGTTCCATAGAAATGAGGTACTGGTTGGCTTGGTCCCGAAATGTCTCCTACGGTGCCATACTGCCACGGTCTATTAAACATGGAAGGATTGGTTTCTGTGCCGGTGCCGAACTGTCTTGTTACCTTATCTACAAAGCGCATTCTTGATTTCATCTAAGACTGGTTTCCGAGAATATTACGCGTTTTATCTGTTATAAAGTAACTGTCAAAGAACCAGTTTTAAATTATCAATTTCAAGTAAACATGGTAAACATGTCAAATTAATATTTGTTTTTATCTTTTCTTGTTTTTTGTTTATTACTCAATACTTTGTTCATCAAAGTTGGATTTAATTTATTTTCTACAAAATGGTTCGGACAACCTTGATCTAGCTTTTACTTGTCCGACCTTTTTTTCCTCTGGTACCGGACAATCGGACAAGCGTTATTGTCGAGCCCTGTTCAGTTTTGGTATTTGAATCTTTGAGAAACTACAAAGAAAAAGGGGTTCCACTTTTCTTGTTCGACAGGTTAACTATAGAAGAGATTCAGTCACATGGGATAATCACAATATGAATTCCATTAAATTTTCAGTGGCAATTGCATGTGTAATATGTATAACTAAAGTGTACTATTTTTATTTTGCAGATATAACAAAATGATCATCCACAAAAAAATGTACAGCATTGAATACAAAATACCAGGTATGTTTCTGTAGACATGGTAGAGCTGGTAAATAATAAATATATATGGTAGAAAAATGTTCAAAACTGATGCATTCATACACAAAAGAGATATTTTGTAGGTAAATACAATCAACCCTGCTATAAAGGTCACCTTTATTCAGCAAAAACCTGTCTTGTCAGGCACCCTCTTCTTGTCCCAAGTGTGACCTTTATATACCTGTTTGAGTGTTATATCAAAATAATTCCATACCCTGATGTAATTTTCAAAAGGCAAGTAACACTAAATTATTTGGTTTATGTTATCTAGAAGTTTTAAAATTCAAATGATATGTGTTCTTTTCAGAACTGAGAGAGCCCTAGTTTAAAGATACCTTTGTTTCTTAACCACTTGGAAAAATTTACAAAAAATTTGGAAAACGTGCAAAAATAAGATAGCTATAAAGAAGCCATTATTTAGCAGCTGCATGGATTGTGTATATAAAAATAATGAGAGTGGTATGATTGCCAATGAGACATCTATCCACCAAAGTCCAAATAATGTTGATGTAAGTAATTATAGGTCACTGTACCACCTTTAACAATGAGCAAAACCTTTATGTAAAATGTGTCTTTTAAGCATGTCTAAAAGGGAATGTTGGTTGTGGGTAGACAAAAATCGTTTGCTTTAACTACTAGAAGCTCTTAGAGGAACTCTTTGAGAAAATTATACCAAAATCATTTTGTATGACAAATTGGATTAAAAAAAATGGATTTTTTTAAAGAACAAATAAAATTGCAACAAAATTATAAATCAAAAATAATTTCTTTGGCATTGCAGTTGGGTTCTGTATAGCTCAGAAATCATGAGCCTTGCACAATTTTTTGACAAATAACAAAAAAGCTTTAGTCCAATAGTGAAAAAATCTTAATCTAAAATATGAAAACTTTTTAATACCAAATTAAAGTACAATTTTGGCCCTTTTTGGTCCTTATAGGTCCAAAATTGTAAATGATACCACAAATCTTACTGAAAAATAAAGGCTCAGATTTTAATTAGGAATAAAACAAAAATTGCATCAATATCAATCTAAGATTTCTAATTTGACCCCTTACATTTGTAGCCCCCAAGGGTGACTGGGGAATAGAAGTATGGTCACCATTGGTCTTCCTCCCACCGGCAGTAAAACCCTTGTCAAAGTGGGGTGTCCGTTTGGCTGTGTGGGATGTACAAATTTGCAGCCACGTCCGGTCAGAATGGGGACGTTAAATCCGATGCCTCGTGTAAAGAGAGTGCCACGCTCTTTGCACGTTAAGAACCCTTGTAACAACTCTTTGAGGGGTCCGTAGGTGACCTGTTGCAAGGCTAAATGTCTGTCCCTATCCAATATACCCTCATTTCCCGTGGCAGTCCAAATTTCTCAGACCTTGGTCCCGGTCGACTCTATTACAGAACCTACCTATTTTATTAATTATTAATTTGTTCTTGTCCTGAATATGCATGAAATATTTGCCACTGGACGTTAAGCAACCAACAATCAATCAATCAACCTTACATTTGTAATTCTTGAGAATTAATGAATACTCTGTATATGACTCCTTGGACTTTTTTTCGTGAGATGAACAACACAGGCAATTAACATGGACATACCATTATACCAACTCAAACATTTATAGTCATGAAATGCGTAACACAATGTTCATGGACATTACTTTGTGTTTGATTGTATTTTATTGGTCAGACTGTTTATAAATTAATCTGAACAATTCTATAGCTTTTGACCAACTCGGTTAAATGTTAAAGGAGCTGTGTCATTATATGGTAATAAATCGACAATGCCAATATTTTTTGAAACTCTATGATGGTTTAAATAGATTGTTAATGCTACAGTCGTTTTAAATTTCAATTAGTATATTAATTTACCATTAAATCTTTTATGCAAATGATATGTAGAATTTGACATCGGTTGCCGACATACGGAAGGTTATCTGTTAGATGAGTGACAAAATTATCGTGCCTGTTGAAAAGTACTATTTAAATTTCATGAGGCATGGTTTGATATGATTTTTGATCTAACTGTAAAATATTTCACAGGTCTAGTCATGTCAGTATGTAAGGCATTAGTACTATTTTTCGATATTTAAACGGATGATCAGATTATTCAACATATCTACATTGAAAGCAAATTAGCTACATGTGATTTTACAATTTTGGGGATTAGTTAATCTTTTGGATTTAATATTTTACCTTGAGGAAATAGTAATTATGGTTAATTTATTTAAACCTGGAATACACATAATGATTTAGAAAATATTTTATATAGGATTTATATTCAGGTGGAGTTAAATACAAGATTTGATTTCTGACGATGAGGCATTTTTTGTTTTATGCTGCTAAGTAAAATCTTTTAATATTGAATTCATGGATTTATAGGTAAACAAAAGTCATTCTAATGAAAGAAAGTTTGATGGAAATTCGGCAAATTCAGTTTGGATTTTATAATCACTCGGATTTTGACAGGTAAGTGGAAATTCAAAGACACTTTTATACGTTATTTAAAAATTTAAACTGACAATAATAGAACTATGTATACCAAGTGACTTTGTTGTTTAATATGCGATAAGATTTTAAAGAAATTTTCACTTTAAGAAAAACACTGTTTTGTTCAAAATTTGAAAGAGAATAAAAACAGTAAAAGTGTATGTGTTTAAAGTTTTCACAGATGAGTAAACAGTTTGTTTCGTAGGACAAACTATGGAATTGTTTTAGCACAGGACGCTGAGTGTCGTTTACATAGACTGGTATTGTTCTAAAGTTATTGACTAATGTTTGTGAAAGGAGAACACACCATTATTTACTTAGGTAAAAATCAATGTTTCATTGAAAGTTATTTTATTTACATATATTGACTTTTAAAATATTTCATAATTGATAAATTGTTGAAATCGAATAATCAAATTCAATTATAATTGAATGAACATTTTTTATGTGGAATGTACAATAAATTGGTAAGTGACATTATTGTTACGATTTTCAAATGACATATTCACATATCCTTATTCTTAAATTTTGTAAATTGTATTAGGTACTGTAAACCAACTTATTTTTTGTGAGTAGAAAAATAAAGTGAATAATGTAAAATTTTATGTGTATTTCACTGTATAAGTTGTTATTATTCTGATCAAAGTATTAAGAGTAGGTTGAATCTTGTCAGTGGTTGTCAGTCAGTTCATGTCAAAGAACATGCAAAATTACTTTGAGGTGTACGTATGAGACCTAATACAAGTAAAAATTTCTGCCCCTATCCAACAAACCCTTTTTTTTCAATGGCAGTTTGAATATCTCATCTGCATACTGATTGATCCATTGTGCAAGTCTTCTTACTGACTTTGTTGTTATATTGATTTTGTTCTGAATAAGAATAAAATATTTGCCACTGGACATTAAGCAAACAAAAAATCAATAGGTTAATGTTAGTACATTTTTTTTTATTTTTGTAATTGAGAAAATGGCATACCAGATATGTTTATGGGTGTGTGCTGTATTTGACTTCAGACAAAGTTGATTTTTATTTGATACATAAAGTTATGATGGTTTTATGTGATAAACAGGAACCACATTGCAGTTTCAGCCTTCTCGTTCAACCACAAGCACACCAGCCCAGGCTTGTATAAATGCCGTCGGCCTGTAAAAATCATCTCTACAAGCCAATAGAATCTAACTAAAATTTTTAAAATTCAGCTACAGGCCTGTAGATTTAAAAGTTTATCGTGAAGACTGCAGGTTGTTAATTGTAATTAAAAAAATGAAGGAAAATATTTCCCTGATAAGCTTAGACATGGTTAAAGCTTAGAACTTAACAAACATTGTTCACATTACCAGATGAAATTGAGAGATAATGGATTTTGTAAATTGAATCAATAGTTAATTAAACAGTAAGCTTTTCTTTCACCTTCTGTGTAAGCCCAAACAATACTGCATGCAACGCTGTAACAAAAGTTTAGGATTCTTAATGGCAATTTTTCAAATCAATAACAAGAAGATTAGAATTAAAGGTATATAATTCTAATCCTTGTATATTACTTTTTATACTTGTCGGTTAGGAACCGTGGCAGGTAAAAGATTTGAAGTATTTGGTTAAGATAAGGACAACAGGTACACAAAGTCTCAAAAGGTGTTTAAAACAAAATTGGCATTCTTAACGGAACTTTTGACACATTTGTTTCAAGTGCTGATTTGTGCAATTCAAAATCATAGTGAACATAAAACATATGTGTGCTTAGAGAAATTTAAGTTGAATTATTATAGGCCCAGGAATGAGATAATAAAAGTTTGGATTTCTTTACTTTGTTTCATAAGTTTTATATATTATATGGTAAGGTCAGACCAATGGACAAATTCAGAAATAGTGTTGCATCTTATGAAGGAAATGTTCTTTAACATTGTTGATGTCATGAAACATCATTTGTGAGTTGAATTGATTGATTGACTGTTTATAGGAAAAAATTTGGTTTTTGTAGCATTTTATATAATACTCTTTTGTGAAGGACAGTATTCATATTGTTTTTGTACCTTCTGTAAAGTGGCAAATATCCTAGAGACCTTGTCATCCAGATTTTCATTTTCAACATTTTAAAAAACTCTTATGTGCTTTTGCTGTGACAATGACAACTATTATTCTTAAGTAAAAAAGTGATAATTTGCCCTACAGAATTGAAAAATGGCACAAACATTGTTGAAAAACATGCAGATAAAAAATAAGACATCTTTCAGTACAAAGTGTTAATCTTGATTAAAGAGGAGTTTATATTAAGACATTGATTTTTTTTGATTTTTTTTTGCAGGAAACTATGGTGCTAATGAAAAGAGAATTCCTTTATGTCATGAAAATAAGAGAAAAACATGATAACAGTCAACAGAAAAATGTAGTTTAAACTATTAAGATAGGAAAATGTATAATGATGACAGAAGATACCCGTTTCCTGATTTAAAGAAACGTCTTGATGGAGGGAAAACATACATTTCACACAGGAAGGACAGGGATCCAGTCAGTAAATTAAGTCATGGAATACGTCGACTTGAAAATAGAATATATCGTTACGATGTAGAACAAAGGAGATTAATGGAAGCAGAATTTGAAAATGAGGACTTTGTGCGGAAAAAGTTACAATTCACGGATGATGAAGATGAAACAGGGTTGGATTTTACTGACAAAATTGCAGCTTTGAGGTCAATTTTAAAAAGACCTCAAGGTCAAAATGATTACCAAAATGATGAAATAAATGGTGATGCAGATTTTGTTAGTCCCAGATTACTTGGTGTAGATGCTAGAAATAGTAAAAAGAAGAGGAATCTACAGGAAAGACAAGAAGATGGAAATGTAACAAAAAAACAAGTAGATGAAGAATTAGCTAAAATGTCTTATCAAAATTATGAAGCTATGCAACATTTAGAAAAATACTCTGGTCTGTTAACAAGTGTTGGTAATAAAATAAATAGGAAAAAAGATCCTTCACCCAAAACAAAATTAGTGCAAGACAATATGGAATTTGTTTTGAGTGGGAAAGACAATCAGAAATTAACCTCAAATGGATTAGATTCAAAGTTTAAGGATTTGGACCAAGTGCCAGAACGTGATAAAGCTACTACTTGTATATATATTCATAATTATGAATCCTCTCCAAAGTGCCAAAATTGCCATAGTAATTTATTATGTAGGAATTGCCCAGATCATAGCAGATGCCATAACTGTATTCAAAATATGTCCTATTCCAGTCGGCAAGGAAATTTGACTTGTCCAAAATGTTATGCTCCTTTACTTGAAAATGGTGCTTCTTTTGATAACCCTTTGAGTTCTAGTCAAAGGAGTTCAAAGTTCATTCAGAGTAATGTGCCTCATTTTGATCCTTTATGGGACGGAACAAGTTATGATGGTGAAAATCATAGGGGCAAGCATTTGAATAAAGAGAAAAAGAAAAATGACAGAAAAAATGATAAGGATTCTAGTCATGTAGCTCAGAGCAATCTGAAGCAAAGAACATCTAGAAAAAGTAGTGAAAAATCACATAAATCAAAACACACTTTTGATAATGATTTAAAACAATGTGATCCAGGTGTTATGACACTTGATGATTTAAGAGAACCCCCTAAATCTGAAAAGCAGAGATACAATCAGAGAGAAAAATCAAAGTCAAGATATTCATCTGAGGAAAGGAAAACTAAATCTAAAGCTAGGAAAAAATTGGAAGATGAATTTGAAAGTTCTGATTCTTCTCTCAAAGAAAATTTTCCACATGGTAAAAAAATCAAAAGTGATGATTCTTCTAGTCATAAGTCAAAGTTTTCTGATTCTCAAGAAAAGAGATTAAAATCAAAAGTTGAGGAATTGTTTGGACTTCCTACTGGAGTTATTGACATCAAAATCCCCAAGCATTTACAAAATAGTGGCCATGGAATATCTGAGGAGATTCAAAGGGAGAAAATCCAACGTCTAGGACAGATGCCCAATGGATTACTTCCCCTTTCTGATAATGATGGCAGGTAGGTGTTCCGGTATATTCAAATTATTTCCAAACTATATATGAAAAGGTTGCATGTTGCTTATCATGCTTATTAAAGAAACAACTGGAAAATTCTTCCAAATGTTTTATTCAGTACTCTCAATCTTAATACACAGCCAAAGTAGATACTTCAAGCACCTGTATGATACTATCTAGGGCTCATTAAAGCCATTAACAGGCACAGGGAGAATATTTCCAACCAATATTAAAAGCTCCCAAAATGTTATATATAGCCTGTTTGAAATCCATTCATTGAAGAAATCTTACCTGGGGTTCCCTGTGTCTAACTTAACCTGACTTAATAGATAGAAAATATAAACTTAACACCAAACAAATACTTAACTACAATTTTCCTACTTGATTTTCATGAATTTTCTTATGCCATGGTCTTGTAATTTTGCTAAAAAAATGAAAGGAAATATTATGGGATAACTGAAGTGTCAATTTATGTTTATAAATATTTGGTTATACATATTTAGTTTTGTGATTAGATATTACATGTGGTACATGTATTTTAAAAATAGTAAAGCAAACAAACTTTCAGTGGTTTAAATTGTGGAAAATTTAAACATAGTTAATATTAAATGTGGAAAGCAATGACCTTGGGAGAATTTTAATAGTGTGTATTTGCATTATAAGCATGATTAGTATTAAAAGAAAAGTATCGGATGTACATTTTTCACCTAATAAATGTATTTTCTGTATTCAATTTGTCAACAAAACTTTTAGGAAAGTATCTGATATATAACTTCTGTGTTCAGCAATTGAATCATTTGAATTTAGGGGCCTTAAGAGGCAGTACTATATCATGTATATGGTTGAAAGCATTATGTGCTGGCTACTTCAGAATAAGACCCCATCAGGTTCAAGGCTGTCTTGTCATTTTCAAAATAATTGTGTGAATGCAATTAACCAACTCATCTTAGAGTTGCCAATATAATTTACAATTATATTCATTATGTTTGGTCTGTTCATTGTAATCAATGTGGAAGGAACTTCAAGTTCATTTGCTTTTTACTGTTCTGAATATACTTTTCTGATATTGATGATTATAAATAGTAACATACTTGACATATGTGTGAATGATCATCAATGAGACAGAAACCCAACCACAAAAATAACTAACTAAAAATCCAGAGGGCGTTACATACAGTCTCCAATAATACACACTTGTCTATTCAATATTTCAAGCTTTAAATTTGGCACAACCACAAAATCAAATATCCATATAAATGCAATTTTTCTTTAATATACTAATATTAGTACCCACAAAATGAATGAATCCAAAGTATTGCTTATAAAATCCTGTAAACAATAACTGAGCAATCTGTTGTCTAAATTATTGTAATTGCTTAATTATCTGTTTATTTTATTGTTGTGTACAATTTGTTTTGATTTTATTTCAGGCTGTCAGATGGTATTAGTATCGATGGTTCTAATAAATCTTCTGGTTCCCAGTCCTCAACTATCCTGGCTGTAGAGTTACTACGGAAACTGTACAATGTAGACACAACAACCAGGGAAGAGCTGATATTAAAGGTAAGCTGCCAAAGAATAGCAAATATGCCATACAAGTTCAATTGTTTTTTATCCCCCTGCACATTGCACTGAAGGGGATATGTTGAGGCTCTCCATCCACCTGATACACATCAATACTCAGAGACCGATTGACATGACCATTTATTTTAGTATAACAACATTAACACCTGTTGAACTCAAGTCCTCTAAGACTGTTTTATAGAAAGCTCTCATACTGGGTAGGATTGTTATGCAAAAAAATATATTAAGCAAAATAATGTCAATTTCATATGAATTTGAACAACTTCATAAATATGTCAAGTTAGGGCTGTAATATGCACTCATAGATGACATTATCTAAGCTCACATGTTTACCTACATTTGTCTTAAAAATCCAAAGATAATTTGGTGTAACCTAAATAATTAGGACAAGGGGATTACTTTTGTCATTTACATGTAGCGAAGTCTTACAGATTTATCTTATTGTTCTGTAGGCTAAATGTTTTAGAAGATGGTTGGAGAATGTGAGAAGTTCTGCATTGAAGGGTCAAGGGGTCAGCCTAGAGAATGTTAATTCTGTTGAACATGCTCAGTTGTTAGAGACAGCAAACTATGGTGTCTGTTTACAGAGGTAATGTTGTAGATCAGTTAGACAGAAAATCATGATTTAGCCACACAAATGTTGCTATTAGCTCACAAATTTAAATATTAAAATCATTGTAAATTCAGAAATTCATGCATGCATTTATTATTGGTAATTACTGATTACTGGTTAAAATGCAATATCTAATTAATGTGATTGCAAAAATTTTGTAACGGAAAATTACTACAGAAAGTATGAATGCAAGATTTTATTATCGCGACCTGATACCGACACATTTTTAGCATTAATAAAAACATCTAAAGTAAGTTACACGAAAACTGGGTTCTGATTCAAATGGATTATGATTTGCTACAAAACACCAATGATAAACTCAAAATTATTATGATTAGGTGCAAAAAATATTATGAATATGTAACAAAAATTATTTTGAATATGTAACAAAAATTATTTTTAATATGTAAAAAAAGTTTTTATGAATAATTATGTAACAAAAATTATGAATAATTATGTAACAAAAATTATGAATAATTATGTAACAAAAATTATGAATAATTATGTAACAAAAATTATTATGAATAATTATGTAAGAAAGTTATTATGAGTATGTAACAAAAAAATCATGATTAAGCCATTTAAAATATAATAATTAATTTACCAAAAGTATTATGCTATTGTGCCACAAAGGCATCATGATCAGGCAAAAATATAAATACAAATAAAGGCAACATAAAAAGTATTATGAATAAACCTTACAAATAAATTACTGTAGATTGTAGATGGGCTGTCACAAAAGTATCAAGCTTTTAGGTGATCTCTCTCCTTTGTTGAATACTTGCCTAATTGGACTTCGGATATTTTGAAAACAATCAACTAAGTCTGAAAATCAGATTAAAAAAATCAAAATCAGATAAAACTATATAATTATTGATGTCTTTTCTTTGAGCATATCTATAAATTAATTGTATAGATCTGTTTTATTGAATATTTGACAAGAGGCAAGCAACTTATTACCATACTAACTGTATTGTGGTTTGACTGTTAACATAAACTTACGTTGTGAGATTCACTCAAAATTAAAATCTAAAGGACTGTGCCATACCTTTTGAGATTAAACCATTAAGAATAGCTGCTAGTGCAACAAATATATATCTGTCATCAGTAATTATTTATAAATAAACACAGAGAGTAGAAAATGATGTTAAGATTCTGAAGTCTCTACACTTGATTTAAGGGGAAAACCAAAACATACAGAATAAAAATCATATTCTTAGATTCTAATGCAACAATAAACTATACATTATTAGACCTTTATTATAAGGACTTATTCTGAATTAGACCTGATCAGGAAATTTAACCTCAGGTGTTGATGACAAAACTTTCATTGACAAGCACACAAGAAAGCAACAGTTATACATCATGCCCCATGTCATTTGTTACAGGTGTGACAAAAACTGTATAGGTCAATGAGACAGCAATAAACATTAATCAAGAAAAGTGCTTTGATTGCATTTAATTTGATGTATCTAGCTTTAATAGATACACCAGATCTTGAATGCTATTCACCTGTGAATTAAACAACTCATATAACCTTTTACAGGGCAGAAATTTTCAATAGAGAGCACCTTTTAAAACGGATGCTAAAAAAATGGAGACGCAGATGGATTTCCCATGCTGGAGAGAGAGCTGCCTACACTCTCCACAAACAACATACTCTAAGGAAAGGAATGAATGCTTTCAAATGGGCCATTAGTAGGTCTAGGATACAGATAGAAATTTTACAATCTAGAGCAAGAGGTGCTCTCATCAATGCCACATTTATTAAGGTGAGCTTGATTAGGTTAGAGGATACTCTCCAAGTGAAGAGAACTTTGGAAAAAATAATTTTATTTAAACAAATAATAACCATTCCTAGAGGATAAAGATCACTTTTTGTTCCGCACAGTTTTCTTATTCTGAATAGAATCATTTCTGTTCAAAAGAAGTAGGTAGTTGTAAGCCCTATGGAGCTATTTTTACACTAGCCTATTAACATAAATTAATTACATGTTACATTGAATTGTCCATTACTTTTTTTTGCATTGCCTACTCCCTATTAACAAATATTTATATACTTTTCTGGATTTTTTGGCAGGATAGCTATACTTGATATGCTTTGTGATTTATTTAAATTTTTTTGGTAAAAATGACTCCTGACTCTTACATTTGTCCTAAATCAATCATTTGGATATGTTTTATTATATACAAAATTGCATCTTCTATACATATTCATGTCTTTTTTTCTGCTTTAAATTAAATTTTTTTTAGGAATTTTCGAAATTTTCATACTTGTTGAAAGATTCACAAATTTCCTTTATCAAGATAATTTCCAAAGAGCTAGCTAACGTCACAGAGGTTGTTACTAAAGCCATAAATCTATAAATTTGTTTTAAAATGATTGTTTCCAGAGTTTAAAGCATAATAAATGCAGTTTTCCCCCTCATTTTATTGAAAAAATATTTATGATTTCAGTGGAAGGCCAAAGCTGAAGCAAACATAAAGATGAGACTTGAGATGTCATTTGCAAGATGGCGTGTATTTACGTCAGAATCACAAAAGTAGGTCTACCTGCACATTCTTCAAATATTCACATTTTTTTGTATTTTATTGTGTTACTTTTAATGGCCTTATATAACTTCGTCATAATTATTGACATTTGAGTATTTTATGACATAAAAGTATTGCAGTGATATGTGATTTTAATTTTCTTTATTTATTACTAATATTTAAAAATCAATTTTAACCATCAATATTGCTTAAATTATCTAATAACTACTAACAGTCTTCATAAAGATACATATTTTTCATGCTTGACAGACCATTTTAGCTTTCTCTCTCATGTACTTAAAAGGCCCTTGTACTTTTATGTAAAGATGGGGTTCAATGTAAGTCTTATTTTGTAGTATTGGTTATATGTTTTGCAGTTTAAAAAAATTCCCCCCTCCTTTTTCCTAGAAGGTCATTGTCAGGAGAAGAACTTTTCTTATTTTTATTCTTAAAAAAATTGGTTCATTTAATCCTATCAACAAATGTTATTTGACACCTTCTAGAAGGGACTGTTAGGAGTGGAACCCATCTATTTCATCAACCGAGGCTTCTGTTTTGCTTTATGGGTAACATTATTTTTATTGTTATAGTGTCTGTCAATCTGTAACCAAGCCAGTATAAAGATGATCTCAAAATATCCATTATTTGATCTAAAGCATAAAACCTATAAAAAATTATTTATTTAAATTCTTAATATTCTTCATATGACATTTGTATTCCTACAAACTATTAATTGACGTGCTGTACACATACTTTTAAACAACAGCTGTTCTGAATATCAGGCTATGGAATATTTTTCACAAAATAATTTATTCTAACTTTAGGCCAAAATAGAGAATTTCAGTTATCAAAGAACATTCTTACAGAAAGTTTGATGATAAAGGATCATGGAATTGGATGTGAATTATTTATTCATTAGATTGCTTCTTTATTGGAATGGAATTTAAAATGTGTATTTTTTTCTAAATTCTTACACCATATTGAAACATAATCACATATAGATAAACTTTATCCTGATTTTTGACATAGCTGAAATTATTTGAACTACAAATCTGAATTTAATTGGACCTTGTGTGGTTTATCTAAATATTTGTTAATAAATTAATAGACCCAACATATTTTACTTTATTTTAATGCTTTCTTGTTAAAACATTGTTGAGTCAATCATACAATTAGATGCATATAATTATTTTCCAGTAGGTTTAAAATTCAAAAGTATGTAATTATACCTAATCTTAAAGATTTAGAAATAAGGTTCCATCTGATCTGAAATGATTTATAGACTTTTAAAATACTCATTAAAATGGTTTAGGTTTACTTACAGTAAATATATACCTCTTCAAATATTCAATATGAAAAAAATATATATCAGATTGTGATGGTTAGTCTATAATAAGTTAAAAAAAGATATTTTAGGAGATAACTTTTTCATTTGCTGTTTTGAGAAACAATAAATTTGGAAGGTCTTGAGGAGAAGATATGATAAGAGCAACTATCTGTTCCCTAAAATTAAGAAAAAAAGCCAGTAGAATTCTTCAATTCTTCCAAAGTCATGCTTTTCTATAGTTAGTAGTGTTCTGTGGTATTTATATATTTTTTAAGGGAAAGTTCTTTCTGAGACTTTAAGTGCAGGGTTCAATGCATTTTATAAGAATTTTTTCTGTAACAGATGTTGTTGAACAAACCATCTGTACAGATTTATTGATAAAATAAGACAGGTCTTTAAATGGTCTGTGAGCAGTGACATCTCACTTTAAAATTCTTGATATTATATTTTTGTTGAAGACCTGGATGCTTTATACCTTTCATACAGATGCCTTAATATGTTATTAAGTTTCTGTATGTCATATACTCTTTGTCCTTGACCTTGTTTTCATGGTTCAGTGACTGCATTGGTCCATGGTTCATTGGTCCATATTATGTTTTCCTGGTTAAGTCTATTTCTTAGATACTTTATAAATCAACTATATTTGGTGGATGGAATGATTGTAAGGTGTACATATCTGTCTGACATGTATCATCTGACCATGACCTTCATGATTTTTAAATGGTCAATGGTAAGTTTTCCTATTTTTGTCTTGTTTTTTTTGGATACAATAAGCAATATGTCAACTATATTTGGTGTATGAAATGATTGAAAAGTGTACATGTCTGTCAGGCAGGGTTTATCTGACCATGACCTCATTGTCATGGATCATTGATAATGTTGAGTTTATTTGATACTTAGACTTTCAACATAAAATCAGTTGTGGTCAGTAAAGCAGGCGAGACATTTCAGCATGTGCACTCTTGTTTATTTTCTTTCTTTTAAAATAATTCATTGTATGTGTATCACTAATTTAACAATTTTAGAAAGGATAATAGATATAGCATGGAACTTTCATTGTAAGTATATCCTTTGTTGGTGCCCCTTGGTTAAAATGGAAAAATCATATGGGAAAAGGAAATGATTGTTTTATATAACATTGTGTGCTTTTATGGTTAATACACTTATTATGATATGGTAAAAGGCATGTTTTTATTTTATACCTTGCATGAATGATTATTTTTTTAAATCTGGAATAACTCATGTGTACTGCTTTGTAAAATTAAAAAGAATTCAGTAATATTTAGGGAACAATTGAAATGGGTTTAATCCATATGAAATATTAAGAATCTAACACCAACCAGAGTGCAAGACCAGGATATATCAGGCACCTGACAGAAAGATTTCAAGTCTATAACAAGCTATGTCCTAGTCTGAGGTGAATGGACATCTTTCCTAAGGTGCTTTGAGAGTCTCCAGTCATGTATTCTTGTGTTTGATTTTTTTCAACCTGTTAACTTTCAAATTGATTAGAAATCATTTAAATATTTAATTGAAAAAATGTGCATTTATGCTGTATGATCCAGGGGGTTTGGATGAGATGGGAATATCTCATTCTATAGCAACCATGTGATAATTATCTAACAACAAGGTCAGAAATGAGATATGAAAAATTAATCATATTTCGGATGCTGATAATGGTTTAAGGTTTCCAGCATTTTTTTTCAGACACTCATATATGATGAAATATGTTCAAGACATCTATATCACAGCATTAATTTTAAGATAAAATCTTTTCTATGCAAAGAGATGTAAGAAGCCAATGAATTGATTGATTGATTGATTGGTGTTTAACGCCACTTTCAACACTATTGTGGTGGTCATTTTTTTTGGCTGATGAAGCTGGAGTGCCTGGAGAAAACCACTAACCCTCAGTAGAAAAATGACAATTCTTGTCAATTAAGATTTGAGTCAAACGCACCTGCCACTACGGGATTCAAACTCACAACCTCAGTGTTTATACTTTATAGGCTAGTGATAGAGTAGTTTGACTACTTACTTGGCCACAGAGGCCCCAATTTCACCTGACAATAAGAAATTACTTAAAACATAAGTATATGTGCATAAATCTCAAGTTTCTCTAAGTTTTGACATCAATTACTTGTTTAAGCATAAAATTTCGACTGTTTTCAAATTAATATTTTTGAAAAGGAAAATATTTCTCCTAAAATTACAAGTCCTATACAATGTTAGAATATTGACAGGTAGAAAAAGGAACCTATTTATGCACAATTTAATGGTTAAAAGGTTTTTGAATTTGAAATCACCAGGGGTATATTATGAATTTAATTCCATGATTGTATACATGAATAGAAAAATTTATATATGATATGGCTAATTTGTTTACAATCATAACTAAAAAGTATTCAGAATAATTTTCTGTCTTATATGAACTGAATTTAAAAGGAACATAGTTTTTTAAAGTACTTCTTACATTCCAGAAAATAGCTTTTTAACATTGATGAATCTGTACTTGTTTATTTCATTAAACAAATGACAAAATCACATAAAGTAGGACTATAGTAGGAAAGTTTGAAAACTTGGTTTAAAATTAAGGTTCCATCAGCATACTTTTTGAGCTATTTTTATAGAGTGCCTTTATCTCTTTCTAAAAAAATATTCATAAAGTATGATTTTTGTTGTCTCGCCTTGACAGAGTCAAAAAGAGAGACATAGGTATGAGGTGCATTGTCACATCTCATTTCCATGGAGATTATTTGGCCCTGCTTCCTCAGTCATGGTCTATTGACTATGAATATTTTGCATAACTTGCATGTTAAAGTATTGCTAGTTTAATTTCAACATTTGCATTTTATTATCAAAATAACAAAAAGGTGAGACATATCTATGTGGTAACAGTTTAATAAATATTTCAGAAATTTTAATATTATTTAATATTGATGTCAAAGTCCTGACTTTATACCTGTCACTTTTTTTTATTTCCACCAGAAGTTGTTTAATAAGTGCCTTACGAAGCGCTGTGTCCATATTTTCAGTTTTCTTCTAGTGATAGTTTGCTTTTTTAAATGCATACAATGAATAGCAGTTTTGCCTACCTATCATCATTATTAAATATATTAAAATTTTCTAGAATTTTTTTATAAAAGCTGCCATTAGGTAGTGGTAATCCAAAATCATTATATAGCTGAGAGAAGTGCTTGTATCTAAACAACTTTTAATCAAACACCACCTCATTGTTTCTATTGTTTAATACAGGGTGAAGAGATTAAGAAGTGCTTTGGACAAAAAGTTACTGCATCAATCATTATATCAATGGAGCTGTCGATTCCAGATGAGACTAAAAGAGAATGCAGCAGACCATTACTTCAGGTTTGTTATGAACCACAAACAAAAATGATTGTTGTGTGACGTCAATAGTTCAAGTGTCGCAGATTCTTGGGTCAGGCGTCACAGATTCCCAAATAGCGATAAGGTCTATATTCTCCAAGACCAAAAACCACAGATAAAATCTAGATCTTCTTCCTGTTAATAAAACCAGGCTTATCGGTTTTATATTCTATCCATATACTGTAAACAAACTTATTTTCATGTGCGATTTATTTTTGTTACTTTCACAAGTAGAAAAATAATGCAAGTTAAGATTGTCCCGAATATGTGAAACTTGGATCCTAACTACATCAAGTTAATTTGAAAATCACAAAATTCAATCGCTGCCAAGTGGGCTAGAAAGGGCTAAATGCAAAATAAAGTATACGCTAAAATTAAATGGTTTACAGTAATCACTACTGGTAAGAAGTTGTCATAAAGAAGCATCATACTGTAACAGTAGATATTTTTGCTTATTTCAAAATAAGAGAAAAAGCAAGAGCTAACAAATAAGCAATAGAAAGCAACAATATTGATGTTAAGTACAAACTTACTTTTGATAGGCAATTTAAACCCACCAAGAAAGGTCATTGAAATCACAAAAAATAACAACCAAGGAAAATATTAATGTTTACAGTATTTGGTTTTACTTGAATATGTTGGTTATTTATCATATTTGAATACTTTGTTAAAACTGTTCTTTACCAACTCCTGATCAAACATTAAATTTCTAATTTGTCTATAATAAGTGTACATGTTATGATAATTAAAATTGCTTCTTATCAAATACTGCTCCTTTGCCAATTAAAAAAAATGTGATATTCAAGCATGTAGCTTTTCATAAAATTTGACAACTGTTGAAACATTTTTCTTTTACTCATAAATAGAGACCATCACAAGTGAAAACTGTTCCTTTAATAATGATGTATATAAAGGCATTTTAAAATAAGTATTTTTATTTCAGGTCCTGTTTATTACACCAAGCAGTAGAATATTGGAAACAGTTTACATCATTGTCTAAAGAGAAGAAATCTAAAATGGAGATTGCTATGTAAGCTAAGTAAACATATACTATCGCACAAATATCAAAATGTTTCTCTTTTGCATTATTACAATATTATTTCTGTAACCAAACTGTGGTTTCCCTGATGTTTAATTTTATGGGGGGGGGGGGGGGGGGGGGGGGGGCACCGGTTAGGTCCTTACTTTATTCTTATGATTTAGTTTTAATATTTGGGCAATTATGTTTTCATGCTTTTTTGTGAACATTTGAATGATGAAAGAAAGTATAATGTATAAGGTTTTATTCAGCCAAAAATCTTTGTTCTTTATCTATATCCTTACAGTAAGAAAGTGATTTAACAACTATCAAAGAATTTAGATATTCAATTTTTTTCATAAGTTCTGTAGATGATAATTTGAATTAAAATGTATACCATCTTTTCCAGGAAACATTTTGTGTAAGTTTTCGGCATGTCAATGTTACACTGATCATAACAGTACTACCATGGAAATCTATTATCCTCTGTCTTTATCTTGCTCAATTACTTTTCAGTCAAAACATCATTTGAAAAAGTGAATGGATGCACAATAATACTTCGCTCATAAAAAATGTGAATTGATATAAAGTTTTCTCCTTTTTTTTTGTAGGAGGTTGCTCTCTTTTTATTTTGGTTGATTTTACATTTATTGTTATTTGTTCTTCATAATTGTTAAGTAATTCAATTCAATGAATATATAGTATGCTTCTTCTATGCATCTTATATTACTTGATCCATATACCTTTTTAATGGTATTTTAAATACATTTAATAGCTATCAGAGATTTTTTTGCCCTGCAATTGCCAAGCAGCATGGCATATAGATCTTCTATTGCTTGTCCAAATTGTGGTCCTTACTTGGTAAATTATTGCATTGGTCCTTACTTGGTAAATTATTGCATTACAGTCAGTTTCTTAGAAATCTATGGTAAATTACTTATGGTCTTCCAGAAGTCATCTTGTGTAGTACAACAGCTGTACAACAATATTTGCATTTCTTTTACCTACATTTGATTATTGAGTGACTCAATGATATCACATCACTACATTCTTCTTGCATGGTACAATGCTGTTGAACAATATATAGGTCCCTGTGTTAAGATTTTTCTCCTAGTTTTTGAAGGCAGGGCATCTGTAAAAAAAGATTTTTATTAATTTTTTTATTTTTTTTTGTATTTTTTTGCCCAAATCTTATTTAAGTTTTCAGGTCTATTATGATTTAACTTTAATATGTTAACCCCCATTTAGCCTGAAGAGGTGGATTACTGACATTAAAACTTTTTGTTTTTAGGAAAACTCATAAAATCATTAAAAGTGAAAAATGCATGGTTGAGAGAAAGGAAGCGTTTATGTTTGACATACCACCTTGTGTATTGTTTCCATAGCATAGTTAAAAATGACTTCCAAAACTTAAGGTTCATTTATCATTAAAATTGTTCACAGTTTTGCATGGCAGTTTGTTATGAGAAATTTATTTTGTTGTAGTTATTCCTGGATATGGAGTTTTCTTAGAAATATATTATGGTAGGGGTTGCAATGAATATGTGAAATATTTGGTTTTGGGGTGGTTTTGATTTAAGAAAAGGTTACGGGATTGTGATTAATGATATATATGTTGCAATTTTAACAGAGATTAATATATGCATATATGAAGAGTTTTACCTAATATGTTTTTTATATGAACTCAAGTTTAAGCTTAATCAAAATAAAATAATATTTATCTGAATTTCTTTTATTAGATAAAAACCATCTGCCAAAACATTTTTCTTTACTACCATGCATTGGAATTATTAAATAATATGATAAATAAATATATTTATATATGTATGTAGATGCATACTCAAGAAATATATGTAATTTTTGTAGCCTATATCATTGAATATTTTTTTAATGTTCTTACTATTGAAAACTATATTTAATTTAGAAAATACTGCTGTTTGTAAAAAAAACAAAAAAAAAAACAAATAGAACATGTATATAGGATTATTTCTTATAAGTATCAACTATCATTGTAAGAATTTAAAGACCAAACAATAAGAAGTATATAAAGATTTGGTATTTATTTTCTCATGTTCAATTATTCTTAAATTCAATCATAATCAGTATTTTGATATAAGCTGCTTTGTACTTAGTTTTGTTAGGTGATCAGAGCGTGAAACACAGGAACAAACTTTAGGATTGCTTACATTTGCTTTCTTCAGAGGAATTTTACAAACAATTTAGAATACTTCTGTCGTCATTTAAGATTTGAATATTTTCAGTCTGTTAGAGATTTGAACAGATATCTTTTCTTTTTCTTTTATCTCTTAGGTGCTTGTTGTTATTGCATATCATATTTCTTAAATTTATAGGAATTTATTTTAATACATCCAGTAAAAAAGGACAATTGCAGATTTTGAAGAAAATTTAAAATTATTTTATTTCCCCATAACGTTTGCTCATAGAATTTTAGATCTCCTTTCTCTTTTATATTGGTCTTGCGCCTTGACACTCTTCTCCAAACAAAAAACAGACAAAAAACCAATAAAACAAAAGAGGAAATATAAAATAAAAAGAAAAAATCTACCCCTAACACTGTGAACACTTTAATTCTTTCAAAGCATTCCAAATTAGCTAGTTACTCAAGTAACCATGTAGAAAAACAAAGGAAATAGGGTACACATATGACAAATTATGCTGAATTTATATCAATTGTATTTAACCTTTAGCAATTAAAAAGAATCAATACTTTAACATCAGTTTCCTGTTTATTGAAAAGAGACATAATTCCTGCATTTTACCAAAGTAAAGATGTGTTTAAATATAATAATGTACAAATGGTATTACAGGAGACAACATAACAGAAAGCTGGTAAAACAGACATTTAAAACAGTAACTGTTGTATACCACAAACATAGGGTGGCCAGAGAACATCATAGGTAAAGATTATAACTGATATAAACACTGTATACCACAAACATAGGGTGGCCAGAGAACATCATAGGTAAAGATTATAACCCTGTTTAAGGCACATTCTTCATAGCAATCATTATAATGGTTCTGATTGTCTTAGCTGTATTTCACAAAACTGTTCGGAATATTTGGCTCTCAGTGCTCTTCAACTTTGTACTTTATTTGGCCTCTTAACTTTTTTTATTTGAGCGTCACTGATTAGTCTTTTGTAGACCAAACACACGTCTGGCATAGAAAATTATAAGACTGGTATCTTTGATGAATTTTCAAGGTTATTATACCAAAATTATGTCACTCAGATCACAGTTAGTTGTTACATACAACTATAATGAGACTTCACTCTTATGCTGTAAGTGATAGTGTAAGTAATATTGTAACAAATATAACTCTTAGTAAAAACTTCAATCAAAGATTTGTTTTGCAGGAAATTTTCGAACTAAATTGATAACAAATAATATAAAACAGTAACAACCTTTCTATGGGTTTATTTTTTTCACTTTTGAAGTTTTTGACATCACATTTTATATATGTTTTGTATTCTTGCCCATTTCATAAACATCTACATGGCAAAACATATTGTGAGGCAATAACATTTTTATACAGTTAATTAAAGGAAAATTAAACTTGTCTGATTGTATAGAATGGGCTGCCCACTCAAGACAGGTTTTGATTGAATGAAAAAATTGCCAACGAGAGGCAGTCTTTTATTTCTTATTGCCAAGTAATTTTCAAAAATGTTTTTTAAAACTAATTTGAGACTTTCAGGGACTGATGATTGAAACCCACACAGACAATTTCTATTTAATTATGATGCAAACATATTGTACTGGTGCCACCAGCTTCCATTGAAATCTTAAGGAAAATTACAATTTCATCTTTTTCACTGAAATATCTTTTTAACAATTTTAAATAAACATGACAGGAATGATGTATGGAAGTCTTCAGCAAGTGAACATATGTGGTTATGATAAAATGAAATCTTGGATGCAATTTTCAAAATTCTTTTTGCTTCTGAAAAGTTATGGCAAAAACAATTTGAATATTTAGAAAATTGATGAAAACCAAACAATTTGAAGCTTACTTCTTGAAACAGATCTTCTCTAGTCTTGGGCAACTAAGGAATAGAATTTCCATTTGAACGATAAAGGCTTTCATGAGCCTCTTTTATTACTAGAAAAAAAATATATCACGTATACAGATTTATATTGATAGATTTGACAATAAATTGAATGGCTTAACTACCTCAATCAGTGATCAAAATTATTATTTGTTTACAAATACTGCTAATATTTGATTATAGGACTGGAACGTTACATCAGGTATTGACAGCCTGGCTCCATGTGACACAGATCCTCAAGCAGGAGAGACATAGAGATATGTTAGTCAGCATAGAGCACTGGACCATAACTACTCTACAGAGCTCCTTTATACAATGGAGGGAGCACCTGCTTACACAGAGAGCTCAGAAAGCTTCACACAAAAAACTTGTCAGGTAAGAGGTTTGATAGGTATTACAGACTAGCAAAAAGTATGTAGCTTAGGCTGTCTTGAAAAACAGCTTTTCACAAAATAGATAGTCAGATAAGAGATTCAAATGTTTTAAGACTGTTAGAACAGGCTTCACATAAAAACTGTCATCTGAGAGAGCAATGGATTTAGAATATAAGCATAAATAAACATAAATATAAATATTATACATTAAGGATTTTGCTCATTGTTGAAGGCTGACAGTGACCTATAGTTGCTTACATCCACATCATTTGGACTCTGGTGGATAGTTGTCTCATCGGCAATGATACCTCATTCCCTTATTCTTATAGATTTTAGTAGAATATTTACTAATATAGCAGCAAATTGTTTTATTATTGATTTTTATTTCTAATGAGTTGCTTGTTTTTATGAGAAAAAAACGCTTTTGGATAACATGAAAAATGTCTGCCTTATAAAACGGTAATTTAAAAAACTGGATTGAAATATTAAGTATGAAAGGAGTTTTTAACTTAGTATTAAAATGAGAAGATGTGGTATGAGTGCCAATGAGAAAACTCTCCACAAGAGACCACATGAGGCAGCAGTTGGCAACTATAAGTCACTGTACCATCTTAAATAATAAGCAAAACCCACAGCACATGGCAAGCTATAAAAGGCCCCGAAATGACAAATGTAGAACAATAAAAAACAAGAAAACTAACAGCCTGTTTTATGAACAATACAATAAAAGAAAAACAAGTATGATATACAGCAACAAAAGACAACCACTAAATTACAAGCTCCTGACTTGGGACAGGCACATGCAGAATGTGAGTCAAGCTTACATAATAAAGAAACAAACAATAAGAAAGATAATTTATATTATGATAAGAGGAGGGAATGGATTTACATCAATCAGACAGTGATCAAACAAATTTTTAAAATCTCAAGCTAAAATGAAGAAAGGATATGCAACAGGGGCTATTTTACAAAGATTTAAGGACGAAAATTCATCTTAATTTATACTGAAATGTTTATTACCGGTACTTATTCATGAGTATTTATTCTCGTAAGATTTTTTGTGAAATGAGCCACTGATGAATTTTCTAATAATTTATGATTTCACATGATTTTTCAAGCCTGTGAATTAAAGTAAATCTTTTTCCCCTCCAGAAATGCTTGGAAAATATGGAAGATACAGTGGGTGACAAATGTTCGGGAGAGGATAGAGATCGAAGGTAAAATCCGTCACGACATTCTACAGGAGACATTCCAGATGTGGAAAGATAATGTCGCTAGACTGAAGAGAAGACGACATGGTGCTGAGGTGTTTATACAGAGGGCACTTGTCAGACAAGTTATTGAAGCTTGGCATGAGCATACTAGTCATCGTAAAATGATCAGGTAATATACTTAATAATCTTACTTTCTCATATTTATGATATAATGAAAATTTCAACATAAATGAATAAACATACTTGTGTTCATCAAAAGAAAATACCTTACAGTGTCTCATACTGAAAATAATTTATTCTTTACAACGTATTGTACCAAATTTCGTTATTGTTTTAAAGTCTTCTTGCAATATCTTCTTAATGAGTAAAACTGTATTCTACTATTGTATGTTTAAACAATAGCTTGTAAATTAGAATTTGTTTTCCCCCATTGGAAATATCTTTATTTTCTATGTCTTCTCTGCAATATTCTTCCAATAACAGAACAAAATATTTGACTATTATATATCCTGTCAATTCTTATACTCAAACAATTTTAATGGATAAGATAGGAAATTTAACTTGTCAACAATTATTTAAAAATTATAAATTTCATCAGAACGAGGAAAGAGAGAAAGAGGTAAAAATCTGATTTAAACTCGACTTCTAAAGATTTTAATTGTCTTTCATTTAATTTTGAACCTGTCTTTCAAATCATCCTCTAAATCACTTAGGTTTTCTAACAGCACAATTTTGTTTAATTTCCCACAAATCTTCCATCATAATTTTTTATTTCCATGCTGATACAGTTTAGTGTTTTTTAATTCCACGTTTATTTCAGCAGCATGCATTTTTAGCACATGATTTGATTTGTTTGATGCACATTTCAATTTGTTTTATTTTTTTTTTATTTATTAGCTCTCCTGGCCCAATGCAAAGGGCTATCTGAGCTGTTGTCATCAGTTTGCCTCAGTCTGTAGGTTATATATTTTTGGTCCATGGTCCATATGTCATCCATAGTTTTCTTCAAAATTCTTCTCTACAACCCCTCAATGGATTGACACCATATTGGGTCTGCATTATCTATAGGTCCTTTTATGCCCCCGTCGTAGGCGACAAGGGCATTAAGTGTTACCCTTGACCTCCGTCTTTCCGTTCGTCCCATTTTCATTGCAAAGCTTGAGTGGGGGCATTCGTGTCCTCAGACACATTCTCCTTTTATTTATTAAATTTGTCAAACTGCAATGTATGGCTTATATAATTAATTACAGAAAAACTGGCAGATTAGGAAAAGTCAACATGCCAAGATTCGCCTACCTAGAAAATTTCAGAATAAGACACAACCTGTGTTGGAGGTATTGCCCCTGAAATGTGGATTTTTTTTCAACTCTTCACAGTTCTTGGCTTTTGACTAAAAACTATAGGAGTTAGGTTCAAATTGTTGAATTAAAAAATGATCAGCACCACATGACTATATACCCTGGACATTTTCCAACAACCTATTTTGGAGTAATTGTATTCAGTATACATTAATAGAAACAAATTATTAGAGCTATTTTCCTAATGCTTGTAGTTTATAGGTTTGGTTGGCTTGCTTGCTTTGTTTGTATAAATGTTTGCTCAACCTTTGTAATTAAGATTGACATCTGCAATCAATAGATAGGCGGGGCTTCAGCTTGTATACATTATACCCTGCATTATTCTTAACATCTAATAACATTTAAGTATAATGTATACAAGCTGAAGCCCCGCCTATCTATTGATTGCAGATGTCAATCTTAATAACAATGCTTGAGCAAACATTTATACAAACAAAACAAGCAAGCCAACCAAACTTTTAAACTACAAGCATTAGGAAAATAGCTCTAATCACGAAAATTAAATCTCTTCTGAAAAAGTTTTTCTGAAGAAAATGGTTTTCTTTGAAAACAAATGAATCGATGATGTATAATGATATGAACATACTATATTCAACATGATAATAATTATGCCCCCGCCGCAAGGCAAAGGGGGCATTAAGTGTTACCCTTGACCTTCCGTCTTTCTGTCCGTCCCATTTTGTTTATAAAGCAAGCTTGAGTGGGGGCATTCGTGTCCTCAGACACATTCTTTTTTTATTGTCGAGCCTTCGACTTTTGTCGAAAAAGCGAGACATAGCGATCCTACATTCCGTCGGCATCGGCGTCGTCGTCGTCGGCGGCGTCCACAAATATTCACTCTGTGGTTAAAGTTTTTGAAATTTTAATAACTTTCTTAAACTATCCTGGATTTCTACCAAACTTGGACAGAAGCTTGTTTATGATCATAAGATAATATTCAAAAGTAAATTTTGTAAAAAAAAAATTCCATTTTTTCAGTATTTTACTTATAAATGGACTTAGTTTTTCTGCCAGGAAACATTATATTCACTCTGTGGTTAAAGTTTTTGAAATTTTAATAACTTTCTTAAACTATCCTGGATTTCTACCAAACTTGGACAGAAGCTTGTTTATGATCATAAGATAATATTCAAAAGTAAATTTTGTAAAAAAAAAATTCCATTTTTTCCGTATTTTACTTATAAATGGACTTAGTTTTTCTGCCAGTTAACATTACATTCACTCTGTGGTTAAAGTTTTTAAAATTTTAACAACTTTCTTAAACTATCCTGGATTTGTACCAAACTTAGACAGAAGCTTGTTTATGATTATAAGCTAGTATCTAGAAGGAAATTTTGTTCCATTTTTTCCGTATTTTACTTATAAATGGACTTAGTTTTTCTTCCAGTTAACATTACATACAGTCTGCAGTTTAAGTTTTTAAAACATTTATTAGATTCATAAACTATCCTGGATTTTTACCAAACTTGGACAGAAGCTACTTACAATCAAAAGATAGTATAGAGAGGAATATTTTTATTAATTTTTTTCCTCATTTTTGTTGAGCCTGTGATTAACAGCAAAAAGTAGGCGAGACACTGGGTTCCGCGGAACCCTTACGAATTTTTTGTTAATGTTTCCCAACAGAAAATTGAAACTAGGAATGATCTAGAAATTCAGTCTGAAATAAAAGACAACACGATATGTTAATTTCTGTAATGTCACTCATATTTCTATTGGGGTAAGTCTGTGTTTAAAATTTCTTGCTTTTGCATAAGCAATTTTAAGAAAATAATTGGAAATATATATTAGAACAGTAGGAATAAAGTGATTAATGGGATAAACATCAATGACAACATGAAACACAAAACACAAAACACAAAACCAAAATACATTTAGAGGTCAACGTAGTCATCAGCCATAAATGAGATTTACTCTGACAAAGCTCATGTATTTGTATATGATTTTCAGGTTTAAAAAGGGGTGTATAAATATATACATATTATAAACAAAAAATGTATTATACATAAAGCAAGATTTTGATTTTGATATTTTATACCACCAGAGCCTTCAAGAGAGTATTTGTACACAGAATGAATGAGGCTGTCCAAGTTAAATACCTGTCAATTTGGAAGAAAAGATTTGAAGATAAACTGGACTTACACAGAGCTAAAAGTTTCTGGTCCAATACATGTGCTAGGTAAATAGTATTTTTTGGTTAAGCAATGTTTTAAGAATGAGTTCCAGACTCTCTCAAACATTCAAGGTCATCTAAAAAGAAATTAGGATGTGATGTACAAAATCGAAATGCACAAAATATGTCATTCAAAAACAATTCTTAATTCACTTTCTTTTTTTCTCATTCAAGTATGCTAAATTTTTGTCAGGGCAACTTAAGTGAATATTCATCACTTTTTCAGCATTGGTTATGTTTAAGTAAGCCAGTTTAGCTGAGGGAAAGTTGAAAAAAAGAAAAGTTTTCCTGTTGGATTGTAAATTTTAAGAGATAATCACACAGCCTTGACTCAAAACTACTTGGAGAGGGGGGAGGGGAGGCAATGATTAGATAACTTATTATCTTTAAAAAGCATAAAGTCTTCATCTACACATTGAATTCTATACTTCTAAAGATCAAATAAAAGTTAAAAAAAAAACACATAAAAGTTTGAGTCAAATGTAATTTTTTTAAGATACTCGATAGAACAGTTACATATTATCCTTTTCATAGCACACATGTATTGAGATCACCAACCAGTACAAAACATCATAGAAAATATATGTATTTGAGAATGATAAAAAATTTTCTAAAAAATTACTAAAGAGAGGGAACCACCGCCTGGTAAATCTTCAATACATAAGAACCCCTAAAGTGAATACCTCGTTTATGCAGGGTTGTTACGATAAAAACTCAAATTGTGAAAGTAGTTATAACAACAACACTTTGTAATGAGATTTCATTTATTACTGCAGCAATCCCTAAAGTGTTCTTGTTATAACTGCTTTCACATACTGTAAATTCAGAAATTATTGCGTGCATTTATTATTGCGATTTTTGAAGAATGGACCAAAATGCGAAATTAATTATTGCAATTTCAGGTAAATCTGCATACAGATATAAGTATCAGATATCAGAATAGGAGTTCTTATTATTGTGATCTTCATCCACTCGCATTATTCGCATTAATAAAAACCTCGCAATAATTTCTGAATTTACAGTATATAGAAAATGTTTAAGGATAGAAAGTCTAGCAGTTAGCATTGTCATAAATGTTTCATAATTATTTTTTAGGAAGGCAGCTGTGGTGTGGAGAACAGTTTGTCATCATAGGTTATTAGATAGATTACTGGTCACGACAGAACCACATCGACAACTTTGTTTGCAGAAAGGTCAGTTATGAATGAGAAGTTTGGTAAACATGAACAAGACAGCAACCCATAAAGACAAAAAATGTTATTTCCTTTTGCCAAGTTGATTGATTCTGCAGTGAATTAATGTAGTAGCACATTGTCTTACATATAGCTGAGCCCTTAAGCCATATATTGGAGTATTTATTCAACACATTTTAAGATTTAAGTGATTGCTAAACCTACAAAATATAATCATGGACATATTGGCTTGGTAAATCCTTATTATCTTACTCATTGTATTGTACAGTATATACCAATATTTGTCTGTGCCTTAGTTCTTCTACTACAGGGATGTTTTTAAAGACCTTGACTTCTTATGAGGGTCTCAAATGGCTTATTCCTGTGTTTGTCTAAATGTGTTGTCTACTTTGAAGTGTATCATTATACCCCACGCAACGAGTTGCAGAGGGTATAATGTTTTTGACCCGTCAGTTTGTCCGTCCGTCCGTCCGTCAGTCCTGTTTCTTGTCATCACAACTCCTCTCAAACCACACAACAGAAATTCACGAAACCTTTTTAGATAAAAAGGACATATTATGTAGTTATGCATATCGACAGGAAATTACGATTCAATTTTTTTCTAGGAGTTACGCCCCTTTGAACTTATTTGCTTCAATGTACTACTGCAACAGTTTGTCATCGCAACTTCTCTGAAACCACACAACAGAATTTCATGAAACCTTTTTAGATAATAAGGACATACTATGTAGATGTGCATATAGACAGGAAATTACGATTCAATTTTTTTTCTAGGAGTTACGCCCCTTTGAACTTATTTACTTTAATGTACTACTTCAACAGTTTGTCATCTCCACTCCTCTGAAACTACACAACAGAATTTCATGAAACCTTTTAAGATAATAAGAACATACTACGTAGATGTGCATATCGACAGGAAATTACGATTTATTTTTTTTCTAGGAGTTACGCCATTGAACTTATTTGCTTCAATTTACTTCTGCAACAGTTTGTCATCTCCACTCTTCTGAAACCACACAACAGAATTTCATGAAATTTTGTAGATAAGAAGGACATACTATGTAGATGTGCATATTGACAGGAAATTGTTATTCAATATTTTTTTTTATACAATTTTTTTTTGTTACACTTATTTAATTTCTCCAATGACAATATGGGGATGTGGGGTATGTGAGCGTGCTCACTAAGGTTCTTTAATTTTTTATGCCCTCGCCTTAGCGGAGGGGGCATTAATTTTTACCCTTGTTTGTCTGTACATACATCCAAAAATTCGTTTCTGTTCTCTAATTTAAGTTTGCCTCAACCAAATGTTATGAATCTTATACACAATGCTTATTACCACAAAACACAGATCAAGTTTGAATTTTGGTGGCGTCACTTTTACCGTTCTAGAGTTACTGTAAAAGCAGAAATTTTCGTTGGGGATTTAATTTCGTTTATAATTCTTATCCACGAAATTAAAACCCCAACAAAAATTTAACTCTAGATTTGCCAAATCTGAATACAAAATACGTAAATATTTAATTTTTTTAATGATCAGACAACATCATTTTGACATTATATAAATGATTAACATCAAAGCATACAATGAAAATTAATAGGTTAATTGATTAGACAACAATATTAAAACATTTTCTTCCAGTCAGATGATAATCCGAATCTTTTGTTTGTACAGTAAAAAATAATGACCAAGAACTGTCAATCATTGTCATTTATCGGTCTAATGCGATTGTAATACCCTCAAGCCGTTATACATTTATTACACAATCATTGTCCTTGGATAAAACATCAAAGGTGTGTAAAAGACAGTTAGCGTGCAGGTCACAACACTTAATTAGTGCTCACTGTAACTATTAAATGTATTATTGATTTTTCCCAATGGCGAAACTTCAGATTAGTTTTATTGAGTATTGGCAATAATAAAGTAACATTTATATAATTTTTTTCTCTACTTAAAAACCACGAAAATTAATCCCCACAAACTTACTTTCGGATACAAAACCACGAAATTTTAACCCCACGAAAATTAATGTTTATACAGTATGCCCCTTTACAAATGGAAAATTGCTGAACTTTTGGTTTCCATTCTCTACTTAAGTTTGCCTCAACCAAATGTTATGAAACTTATACACAATGCTTATTACCACAAAACTCAGACCAAGTACGAATTTGGGTAGCCTCACTTTTACCGTTCTTGAGTAATATCCCTTTATAATGTTATATGCAAGCGGGGGCATCATCTGTGTCCCATGGACACATTCCTCATTTATTGTATGTTGATATCCTTCTGAGTAAACTTGACCTTATATAAAACCAGATAATTTTCCATGTTAATATACTCTACAGTACTCATCTACGAATCTTGAGTTCATCTTAATAGGACATTAGGTTCTCATATCAGCCCTAAGAGAACCACTACAAAACATCTTTTGCAGAAAATTTTGTTCAATATAGATTATGGGAGGGGTAAGAAAAAATGAAAAAAAACATTATGTAGAAAACATTTTTGCTGTGAATATTGATTGATTGGTGTTTGCTCTACGGCATCCAGTAGCAAGTATTTCATTTATATTAAGCACAATGTTCTGGAAAAAAATGTAAAAAGTTGATTAAACAGTTACAAATTGTATATTGTTTTTATCAGAATAACAAATTTATATTATATTTGATGACATTTAGAGTTAAATGTATACTAACAAACTATCTGAACAACCTATTCTTTGCAAATCTTATTTTGACTTTAGTTTTGTTAAATGAGTCATGTTATTTTTCATTTCAGTTATGTTTGATAGATGGAAGGAAGCAAAGAGAAAGATAGATGAAGAGAAACACAAAGCAGATGTAACAAGAGCCATCTTGGAAAATTCACTTCTAAAACAACATTTCATTAAATGGAAAGAGGCAACAGAACAAAGGCTAAAGATCAGACCTATGTTAATGAGACAACAAGGTTCACTGCTGTCAGAGTAAGTACTGTGACAAAACTAACACTAAAGATCAGAATTTATACATTTTAAGATTAGCTGATCTTGAGTTGTGGGACTCAGGACCATCTCATTTTTAACCTGGATATGTGCCTCATTTGCTCTGCACACAATTTTAGTTTTTATTTGAAACAAGCTGACTTCTGTTTTCAATGATTTGTTAAATTGTTTTTCTAGAGTTATTTATCTTTCATTTCACCTTATTCCATGATATTTCAAAACATGTAAGTAAAATCGAGAATGAAAACGGGGAATGTGTCAAAAAGACAACAACTCGACGAAAGAGCAGAAAACAGCTCAAGGCCACCAATGGGTCTTCAACACAGCGAGAAATTTCCGCACCGGGAGGCGGGCTTTAGCTGGCCCCTAAACAAAAATGTATACTAGCTCAGAGAAAATGGACGTCACACTAAACTCCGAAACATATAAATGAATCAAAATTAAATAAACATACAAGACTATACAAGGCCAGAGGTTCCTGACTTGGGTCAGGCGCAAAAATGAGGCAGGGTTTAACATGTTTTGTGAGATCTCAACCCTCCCTCTATACATCTACCCAATTGTGCTTTAATTCATTCATAAATATCTTCATTTAATACAAACTCTTGATGGGCTTTTTATTTATGTAAATGTATTTTTTCATTTTTACAGGACATTTCTTTCTTGGCATGGTTTGGTGCAGCACAAATCTGAATGTAGAAAGAATAAAGTGTTGTTTGACAGGAAGAAACTGAGAGCTGCTTTTGGTGACTGGAGGTAAGTTACGTCTTATTTTGTAGCAGCAATGTAAATTCAGAAATTATTGTGTGGTTTTATTATTTATTTGTATTGTGTACCATCTTGCCTGCTGCACATTTGACAATTGCCAGTCTGTTACTTCTCTTGTTTTGAAATTGTGTTAAATTTTTTGGAAAAAGTATTGAAATATAAAATTTTATGTTTTTACCAAAAGCATGGGAAAGTCAAACTGAAATATTTCTAAAGGTCAGTCATGAAAGTATATTTTGATTTGCATATTTCAAGAATGAAACATCTTTGACTTTGAGAAATTATCAAATTTTCAAGGAGAAAAAATATCAGATCTTTTTTGTATAGTATGCCCTTAAACCTTGTTGTTTAAGATAAAAAAAAAAACATTTGTATTTTAGAAAACAATATTTGATCCATCAATTGGAGGTTGCGATCAAAGCCAAGACAACAACCAATCAGCTGAGGCGTTGTATAATTGGTTGGTCTGCTGTTATCAAACGGAAGCATTCTGCTGTTAAATTCCACAATCAACAGATGGTAAAACAGCTGTTCTACTGCTGGAGAGGAAAAGCTTTTGATCAAATAAAGGATAAACATGAAACCAGAGAAACCAAGGTAACATATATTAATGAAGGGTCCTGATTTCAAAAGAGTTTAGGGCTAAGTAAGGGTCACATTTAGTGATAGCATTTAGATATGCAGAAAAAGTTGTCAGGAATTTTCATTTGATGATGGGTCTGCCAGTTTTCTGTTGTGGTTAAGTTGATTTTTCAAAGCTAGATATGAGGGTTCCACATACAACATTATTAAAAGATTAAGTTTGAATGAAACTGAAATTTTGTCAAAGTAAATCAACATCTATGTTTTTTGTGATGCGATAGCTTGCATTCTGAAATTAAGTAGTGTTTTCTAAGTAAACACCTGTGTTCCTTGCAAAAAAAACAACCTTTATAAACATTGATTATAAGAATCTGTATCAACTACAGGTTTTTGATGAGAGACCACTAAAGTAAAACAATGCTTCTTTTGTACTTTTAACTTCTTGAAGTTCTGCTAATGATAAGTTTTAATTGAAGTCTGACAAAATTGTATTCGGTTCATTCATTTTTTTGTCAACTGAGATCTTTAATTAACTTTTTAATAAACATTTCACTTCATATTGTCTGGTTTATTTTCAGGAACTAAATATGTATTTAATGAGAGAATACTTTAAATTGTGGCATAAAAATGTACACCAACAAATATCAGAAAGAGAAGAGGCAATACAGTTGATGGAACAGCAGAGGGCAAACTTCAAGGTCAAGTCATCTTTCCAGTCCTGGAGGAGACTATTCAGAGCAACAATTGTGGCAAGGTATAGATATATATGATTGAGTTGTGTAATCTAAAACATATTATGGACTTTGGTGGTCAACTGAAACTAAACGTATACGCCCATGACACTTACCAATGAAAAAAATCCTGAACAATCATAGGTCTGTTCTATGTTCCTTTGGAATTTCAACCAGATCCTCCTTCATTGTACTGGATACCAAATTTACATTAGTGTCCTTACAAACAACGTTATATTACAGGGTCTGCAAAATGTTCCATGAAACCTTAATTCAAACTATTAACATTAATTTTATCAGCTATCATATACAGGCTTCACAATTACTGTTAAAAAAAACTACTCTAGAGGCGTTGTGAGTCACATGTGGATACTAAAAAATTCTTAAGTTATTTTAGAATAAATACAAATTTAAGTGTCTTTTCTCTTGCAATTGAATAAAAGCATTTGACTTTTGTACCCTTTACACTAGTATACATCATTCTAAACTTAAAGACAGATTGAAAGAACTAGTTCTTCTTTGTTTCATAAAAAAGAATGGCCAACAAAATAGTTTAGTTAAGTACACTGCAAAAATAAAAATTTTACAGTATTGCAAGTCTAGACTTTGTGGTATCTGAATTCAAAATGTTTCAGAGAAAAGAAATTTTGACTATTGAAAATTTTTCAAGTATGAAATTTACAAATTCCAATGTTTGATGTTAGTAAAGAGTTACTTTGATGAACTTTTTATTTGTTTCTTTTGACAGAGAAAACCAGAAATTGTTGGTCAGAAGACAACTACAGAAGATTCTCACAGAATGGCATGATCTGACAGACTTCAGCGTAAAAGATGCTATACAGAAGTTTGCTGTACAGCTAGGCTTACAGTCTCCAGATGGTACTCCTGAAGGATCTGGTAATTTTTCCTAAAGGTTCAAGTAATTTTTTTTCAGATAGTTCTCATGAAGGTTCAGGTAATTTTGCTGTACAGCTAGATCAACAGTCCCCAGATGGCCCTTCTGAAGGAACAGGGAAGTTTGCTGTACTACTGGTCTACAACCCCTTGGTGGTTATCTTGAAATTTAGTTACACATTTTGTTTGACGGTCCCTATTTCATATGAAAGTGTATATAGGAAAAATAAATTGTCTATCTACCACAACAGTTTATGAATGGAAAATTTCTAACATCTTTTACAAAGAAACATAGCAGAATATATTCCAATCATATGTAGTTATGCATATTGAAGTTCCAATCATATGTTGTTATGCATATTGAAGTTCCAATCATATGTTGTTATGCATTTTGAAGTTCCAATCATATGTATTTTTGCATATTGAAGTTCCAATCATATGTTGTTATGCATATTGAAGTTCCAATCATATGTTGTTATGCATTTTGAAGTTCCAATCAAATGTATTTTTGCATATTGAAGTTCCAATCATATGTTGTTTGCATTTTGAAGTTCCAATCATATGTATTTTTGGATATTGAAGTTACAATCATATGTAGTTATGCATTTTGAAGTTCCAATCATATGTAGTTATGCATCTTAAAGTTCCAATCATATGTAGTTATGCATATTGAAGTTCCAATCATATTTAGTTATGCATATTGAAGTTCAAATCATAGGTAGTTATGCATATTGAAGTTCCAATCATATTTAGTTATGCATATTGAAGTTCAGATCATAGGTAGTTATGCATATTGAAGTTCCAATCATATGTGTCTTTGCATATTGAAGTTCCAATGATATGTTGTTATGCATATTGAAGTTCCAATCATATGTTGTTATGCATTTTGAAGTTCCAATCATATGTATTTTTGCATATTGAAGTTCCAATCATATGTTGTTATGTATATTGAAGCTCAATCATATGTAGTTATGCAAATTAAAGTTCCAATCACATGAAGTTATGCATATTGAAGTTCCAATTATGTAGTTATGCATATTGAAGTTCCAATCATATGAAGTTATGCTTATTAGTCCCCTACCCACGAAGTCGAAGGGGACTTTAGGTTTGCACTCCGTCCGTCTGTCTGTCTGTCCATCTGTCTGTCCGTCTGTCTGTCCTCCTGTCAGTCCGGCAAATCAGTTTTCCACACTTTTTTTCTTCATGCCTTGAAGATATTGATTTGTTATTTGGTATATTGTTTTATCATGACAAGTTACAGATCAAGTTCGAATTTTGTGCAGAGTTATGGTCCTTGAACTTAGAAAATTCACTCAAATAATCAGTTTTCCGCACTTTTTTTCGTTATGTTTGAAGATATTGATTTGATAATTGGTATATAGTTTTATCATGACAAGTTACAGACCAAGTTTGAATTTTGTTTCGGTTTGATGATTTTTTGCAGAGTTTTGGTCCTTGGACTTAGAAAATTCACTTAAATTATCAGTTTTCCGCACTTTTTTTCGTCATGCTTGTTTAAGTTCCAATCATATGTAAATGAGTTTTGAGAATTACTGCCCTTTGTATATTAGAACATTTTGTGTTTCTTGGAATGAAAAATGGAAGAGTTGTTCCCATGTTAATACTTGTTAGAGTGTGTTTACATATTTGACATTTTTATATCCAAGCTCTAAACGGCGCAGGTTTACTGTTTTACCTCTGCCTGTAGGTAGGTCTGTCATATACATATATAATTTATATTACATATCCTGAAGATGTAGTTGTAAATAATTCTCATTACAGTTGCTATAGTTGACCAGTTACAGAATCTGACAGATTTTGATCATACAGATACCCACTGGAGTTCATTTACATCACCAGCTCTTGGTACACCAAGGAGTAGGAGGTAAACATTGATTTGTATTTATTCCCTTTGGTAATACAATAAACTAAATGTTATATGAGCCTTAAACCTCTATATTTGATTTATGATTACTAGTTTATTAATAATAGCCTTGACATTATATTTCTCTCATCAATTCTAGCCGTCTATCTAATTCAACCTTGTCTCCCTATACATTTTTTTGTTTTCAGAAAAATACCGAAAGTGTATTGCTAATTAAATAACAAGATTTACCTCCATACATTCCTTTTCCTTGTTTAGTTTTATTAACATAACTATTTATTTAAATCAAATGTATCCATTCTTCCCTTAATACTGTTGAAACAGCAACCAATAGAATTGTGTGTTTTAAGTTTTGAGAGCCACTCCCTTGTAACAATGACAATGCTGAAAAATTAACATAAAAGAATTTATATATTCTATATTTTTTTTTAATCAACCCTAAATGGGCTCCTTAATTGGAATACAAAATATGGTTATTCTTGCTGGGAAATTCAAACAGGATAACCACATTTTCTGATGTATTTGAATTAAAATTGTGTAATTTAATTTTAATTTTGATTTTGATTTGAACAGTTTATATATAAGAGGGTAAGATCAGAAATTGTAATGTCATATGTGTCAACTCATGTCCATTTTCTAGTCATTTTTGTTTTTCAATTTTATTGCATTCATTACAATGAAAAACACTGATTTTCACAGTATAACAAAAACAGATAATGTAATAAAAAGAACTATATCAAAGAATTCAAATATAGAAAAATAAGCATCTTGTGACCAAACAACACACATTCTTGAGTTAATTTGTTGTTCCGTAACTTGTGTAATATTTTTCTCTATTTGAATTCTTGGATAAGTTATTCTATAACACTTTATATTCTGTTTGAGGTTTAGAAACTAATTATCATGAGAGCTTTGTATGCTGCTTAAAAAACTTAATGTTGTTTGAAAATTTTACAAGAAAATGGACTCAATGTAAATTCATTAAAATAATTATTTTACAGTATAATAAATTCACAAGAAATGTTTGAATTTCACCTTTGATCAATCAAATGTTTATGTATTAATCAAAGAAATTCCATATGTTACCTTAACAAATTTTGTTTCCATAATTACAGTTATGTTGTTTGATATTACTAATAATTTACATAAACCCAAATAATTCAGTCCCTCCCTGTTATTGATATCCCTTACTTGCAAGGGCCTGAAGGCTTAACATACTGAAAACTCTTCATGAATCCTGGATTTTGATTGGTGCCCTGTGGAAGAGGTGACAAATCATCAGATAGCTCTAACTTATCGAGATGGGTAAATCCCAAGCTAATTCCAAATGATTGATTGACAATTTTTCATTGTCAATGCATTTTGGTGCTAATGTGCCATTGTAGAGCAGCGAAATATAATGACTGAATTATTCGGGTTACAATTTACAGTGTTAAATTTGAATAGATAACATCAGATACTAAGCATGATATACATTAGTATTTGTTTTGGACAGGTGGCTCCAGTTATTTCTGTGCAATAAGTTATGAACCATTCAACCAATGCTTTTCAAATTTTGATATGTTGTTACTGATAACAACATGCAGGTCAAGTTCATAATTGACAATATTCACTTGTGCTGTTTAGGAGTTATTGTCCTTGATTGATTGGAAAATGGCACTTTATGTCATTTCCGTGCAATAACTGATGGACTATTCAACCAATTCTTTTCAAATTATAATATGTTGTTACTGATTAAAAACCTGAGTTTAAATTATATTTTGACGCTTTTCACTTTTGTCATTGAGTAGTTGCTGTCCTTAATTTTAGTGGAAAATTGCATTTAGTGTCGTTTCCGTGCAATAACTTACGATAGGGTAAACCAATGCTTTTCAAATTTTAACATGTTTTTAATGATGATAGAAGGGAATATTGTATCACACTACCTACCCTCTTATACATTTAAATAATGGTTGATTTTGCAATGCAGAAAACCCTCTCAACTTGACAGCTCATTTCTTGTTTATGGTAAGCTGGTAGATAATTGAAGCTTTTATTCTTGAGGTTTTTTTTTACATGTACATGAAAAATTTGAAAAGAAAATATTAAGGAAATACTGAATACCTTCCTTTCGAAAGTGAAGTCACAGAAAATAAGTTTGCTCATGATAGGAAGTCCCTTTTTAAACTAGATTATCTTGATTTCTATGTTGCAATATAATTTTCAATTTATGTTTTGAAACAATATGACGTAAAAAAAAATTGTTTTCCATATATGATTAAGTAATCTATGTTTTACAGGATGAGTTCCAGTCGATTAGCTGTGGACTATGACCCAGATCATAAACCTTCCATGGCAGACACATCTTTCTTGGACAACAGATTTGCTATAGAACATGCTGTTAGGACACAGAGGATGAGGGTAGGTATCTGTATATATAGGATCCCATACACAGGTTGTATAGCCCTAGACTATGATTTACTGAGAACTTAATCACTAAATATCTTATACTTCATGGGAATGAAATGCAAACGCTTGAGACAGTTTCATCCAAGTAAATGAAAGTTGCTTTTATTTCATCAGGTAATTAATCATTAAGCATTCAAAGTCATGGACTATTTTTCATATACAGGTACAAGACATGAAGGTTGGTACTAGGAATTCAGATTTTCCCCTGTAGAAAAAAAAAAAAAAAAAAAACTCATTCTCATTTTAAGCTGACCTGGCCCACAGGGCCAAGTAAGGTTTTCTCATCACTTGATGTCTGTTGTCTTCGTTAACTTTTACAAAAATCTTCTCCTACTGGGCCAAATTTAACCAAACTTGGCCACATTCATCATTGGGGTGTATAGTTTAAAAAATGTGTCTGATGACCACGCCCGTCAACCAAGATGGCCGACATGGCTAAAAATGGAACATAGGGGTAAAATGCAACTTTTGTCTATTATTTTGAAAACCGTTATAGAGAAAATCTGCTATGAGCAGAAAGGTTTTGAATGTTGAGCTCTACCAATTGTGTATATACTTCAAAACTGTCAGACAACTTCTTATAGGAGCTATTGCCCCTGAATGACAAATTTTACCATTTTTACATTGGATGACCGTGAGGGCATTCCGGTGTATTGCTGTCGCCTAGATTTCCATTACGTAACTTTCGTGTTGGGATTGTAACCGATCTATAAACATGATAAATACGCGGCCATTATCGAGTGCAAAATAACACTCCTTATCGCTTGTTGTAAATTCATTTTTTCAATGGATACTCCTAAATATATTTTTTTTAGAACATTAATTAATGATATGAAAATGTTTTGTCGTTAGAAATATATATATAAGTAAAAAAATCTTTAATATCTATGCACACGTACAGAAAATGTGTGTTAAGGCATGCGGAAGAATATCTCAAGAACATTTGCAATCTCCCATGCAGAGTTATCGGTCCTCTCTCTCTCTCAAGGACCGATAACTCGGCATGGGAGATTGAAAGTTTGGCAGAAAAATATGAATGCCTACTCAAATCCAATCTATTAGAAAAAAGGAATTATTACAGCAGAGTGTCCACCATGCACTTGCACTGCACTATTATTAATATAGTAGAATAGAATGATATACAAATGGAAGAAAATTATATATACATGTAACTGTAATGTACAAATATTGATATAATATATAACAACAAACCAGAGTATACTGATTTGTATCACTTCAATATCATATTTATTACGGTGAGGTTGAATTCCCTGTCATTTATTTATCATCCACGCACGAACTTGTCTAAGAAAAAAAAAATATATCTGTACATTAACTTCACTTTCAGGTATAGAGATGTGATTTTTTTTTCTGAGACAAGTGCTTGTGACCATCCACAAGAACTTGCAGTCATCCGATGTTCAGTACTTCAGTACTTTGATTTTTTCATATTTGCCTATGATCTTGAAAACTATGATAGATAGATAGAAACTTAAATAAGTAAAAATGATCAGCAAGACAAGATCTACTATTAAGGCTTATGGGGAAATAGTCCGATGACTCCTTATTGGAGTTATTGCTCTTTAATGAAGATTTTTACCATTTTTTTTGCTTTTTGCCTTATATGATAAAAATGATAATAGATAAATAGACACTTTAAATCACTTAAATGATCTGGAAGGCAAGATCTACTTGCAATTCAAATTTTGTCAATATAGTTAGTAGACTGTCACTCTTTATAGGAGTGATTGCCCTTAAATGAGGATTTTTTTTTACCCTCTTTTGTGTTTTGAGCAAAAACTAAAGAAGATAGAGAGAAACTAAACAGACTAAATGATCAGCAATACAAGATCAACATAACAGAGATTTTTGTCATGAATCTATTCTCGTCTACACTGTTGGAGAGTGTCCTTTGTTGAATACACCTTATCGCTAATCCCGCATGACCCGAGAATCAGTCCCGCTCGAACTTTTGACGTCATACAACAATCACTTTTCCATTGTGGCGTCAGATATTTTCTATTATGACGTCATAATTTTACGGGAACTTCTGTGATGTCCAGTAATGGCGGACAAATAGCGATAAGGTGTATATGCACATAGGCCAAGGTGAACGACACAGGCTCTTTAGAGCCTCTAGTTTATTTTCATTTTCCATCAGGTAGTCAGTCCATTAAAGATTGTTGGTGTTTGTTATGAATTGAACTGTTTAATAGATATGCCAAATTTGGATTTTGTCCCAGATTTCATGGTTCACTAAACATGGGAATTAAGCAGGGCATGGTGTCCTATGGATGCATTCTTGTTGTAATATAATTCCAATTACTGATTAAATTGATAAAAACTTTGCAAAGGTAGATGGTCTTACGATGTGAGGGTAAGGGTGAACATCATGAAATTAATTTTTTATTAATAATTACAGGAAATTGTGACTATGTTTATCAAACGATTGCGATTCTGGCCTCTTAGTAATGTATTTGACCAGTGGAAGGAATTTACAGCACGTCAGCGTGAGATGAAGGCTGCCACTAAACAAGTGAAAGAATTACATGTACAACTTCAGCAGAAAATGGTGTTTAGGATATGGAGAGAGGCTTACGATGGCAGTTCTAAGGCTAAAGTTCAAAGTGTAAGTCAGTATGAAAAATTGCATTAAAATGGAGTGGTAATTTTTTTAGGAAAAAATGTATATAAAAATTCTAATATGACATGCTTCTTTCGTTTTGTAGACAACACCGTGATATGAAATTCTCGATATATTTATACTTAGCGCAGACTCAGAGATGTACATAATAATGGATGTTACAATATACCTCCCTCGTAAATCAACATGTATTGTAAACTTTGTGCAAACGCTATACTGATTTCGCTGAGTAAAAAATTGCAATTGAAAAAAACTACAGAACCTTCATTCTTATTCTAATGCATAACAAAAAGAATTAATGTATTACAGCTCGGAAAAATGTACAAAATCGAAATAAAATAAAATTCCGCAAATTCCATTAATGTTTTTGGCGCATTAAAGTCATTTCATAACATGACGACATACGAATGAAAATGCAAAAGCTGAAGGTTTTTCAGTTGCGTTAACCCTCCAAATTTGAATAATATTGCATTAAAAAGGGTTATGAGGTAGGTGTTGTTTTATTTTCTATGCTATTGCATTATTCGCACATTTACTGATTTCAGCAAGTCAACATAGCGGCTCCTTAGTTACGAAATGTCAACTTTGGAATTTGACGGTAGCTTACGAGAAAAAAATGAAAATTAAAAATGGCAAATGTTTGGGGTTGAGAATTAAAAGAATTAAACACATTTTTTTTCTAGTGGTTAATTAAGAACTAATTCATGCAAGCTATAGATTTATTAGAAAATTTTAGCTTTATCTAACAGGGTTAGAATAGAACAGCCACACACACGACATACCAACCCTTGCTTCAGTTGTTTAAATGACATTATTTATCCTATTAGAATCGAAATAATTGATGGAAGCCATAGATTTGTTGTAAATTTACACATGGCCTGGGCCGTGATATTTGTTAATTTTATCCCTCACTAAAGCTCAGGATAAAATTCCAATATCACGGCCTAGGCCATGTGTAAATTTTCAACAAATCTATGGCTTCCATGAATTATTTCTTAATAAGTAGATGAGACAACTATCCACTTGAGACAGAGGGCGAGGATGAAAACAACTTTAGTGTATTGTGCAGTCTTCAACATAAATAATGTGACTTATATTAAAAAATGAGTTGTCTGCAGTGGATGCTAGAATCCCACTGTGTAAAGAAATGAAAGTTATAATAATCATATTTTGTTCAGTTTAATTGCCTTTGATCTACTATTGTCTTCTGATTATCTAATATTTCATCATGAAATTAGAATAAAATTATTTAGTTTTTATATTTTTAGAACAGGACAAAACCATTTAACTTGCAAAACTTCCACAGTTGTAATAAAATGAATAATTCCTAATTAATTTTTGCAAATGAACCAAAAACAAAAACTAGGACACTAGTAAAGCATTCCAAAAATGTGTAAAGAATTGCAAAATTACATCTTTTCTATAATTTATTTTACAGAATTCCTCATTGCAAAGGAGAGTATTTGATGCTTGGTATGACTTCAAATGTCACAGTAAATACAAGAAGCAGTTATCTGCCCTTGCTCTACATCATTACTCAATGAAGATCTACAGACAGATATTCCCTATGTGGTTTGAAAAGGTAAATATTCATGACATATATTGCTGTTTTGAAAAATAAATAAATTCTTATTAGTCTCATATCTTTTTTTCTGTCAGGTAAAAATTTTGATATCTTGGTTGTCTTAAGTAACATCGGTTTTAAAGTGCTTGTATCTGTAATAGGTTTTTATTATTGCATTTTTAGAAACTGTCATGAAAAAATCATTGCTAGATTAGTTATTGGTTACTAGTTATAAAAGAATTAAATTCTCAAATCATTTAAAAGTAAATAAAATTTTAGAACTTGAAATGGGACAAATTGTAGATTAATTTTGTATTTGGATATTTTAAAAGTGCATGTAAATCTCATTTTGTGAAAGTTCAAAGAAATTTCTTATATTTTAGATATTACCAAAGAATACAACTTTGAAAGTAAAACATTGCTTTTATGAAGTAAAAAACTTAAATTTACTAAACAATTTATTTATTTAAACTATTTATAAATACACCTCCCATCCTAAATAAAAAATAAATAAGAATAAAATTTACTGAAATGGAAAAAGTAGAAATAAATAAATAATTAAATGAAAAGAAGTATCAAATTTGCTTTGCTTTAAAAATGGTTTATTTTGTTGTTGCCGATTGTTGATTTTGTCTTACTTATTTATTAATTTAGGCAAAAGAGAAAAGACATACTGAAAGGATAGTACATCTGTGGTCAACAATAACTCCAGAGGAACAATCTCTCCTTCCATTGGAGAGTTCTGTTAAAGGGAGAATACAAACTAAAACTCTCAAGAAATGCTTTGCTATATGGAGCCTGAAGTACCAACGAATTACAAAATTAAAAAATGCATATCATAGGATTGTTTTGGAGAGGTATGGATCAGTGTAGGGGAAAATAAAATAACCACACTCAGACAGTTTGTGTTGTAATGTAATGACTCTTTCCATCCTTCTTTTTGTCCCCCATTTTGTATTTTTTGTAACCTATTACTCTGACAGCTTATTCAGGACTAATATATTTTGATTTTTGGTCTGTTTTCTTTCTTTCTTTCAAGAATGACTCGGTATTTGGTTTAGAACTTGAGATTTTTAGACCCTCTGGGAGCTAATTCCTGTCAATACTTTGCATTTTTTTTTATACCCAATGAGCAAAGAACTTTTTGTCAATGTCTTAAAACAAGTGTTGTATACTTTGCACAATGACAAGTTCAATTTATCTTCGAGTATTAAAATATGTCTGTTATATACACTGTATATGAAGCAAAGGTACAAGGACTTCTAAAACTATTTATTAATAGCTCATTTTGAATAAAAGTATGTTGTACAATTATGTTACTATTTGACAGGGAGGATGTTTTGGCTCTTCCTCCTTTAAGCCTTTTAAAATCATACGCACTTTAATTTTCTTCATATAGCAAATAAAATTAAATGAATTGATGATACTACAATAGTCATAATATTTTTACAGGTGTCTGCATATATGGTTTGATTGGTCAAGTCTGAAGAAGGAACAGAGACAGAAATGTAATGACTTTAACACAAGGAGATTACAAACACAAGTAAGTGATATCTATCTATCATCCATTCATCTATCAGTTGTTAAAAAGTTGTGCTGAAACTCAAATATGCTTCATCAAAAAAAAAGAAAATAACACTTAAGGTGAGGGTACAGAAATGGGCTATGTCACAGATTTGGGTACAAATTTGCATATAACTTTGTCTTGTTGAAACTATAACTGAAAATTGCAAAATAATGTATTTATCTCTTTTTTTTTTCTGAAATATTATTGATCCAAATCTCTCAAATTACGTGAAAATTTGTATAGAAAGCACATAGATGAGGTGAAAAACGTTCTTGAATAATCTTAAATTCATTAAATCTCCAATTTCAAATCCATAGATTTTTCTTAAAAAAGGATATGTTGTCGATACATAAATTTCTGTTTTAATAATGTGAAATAATCATATGGTAACCAACTTCATTTTTTTGGTGTATTAAACAATCTGTTTTGTAGTGAAAAACGTCAAAGTCAGCATTTTATGGCTAACAATGCTATGATGCAGGGCTTCCAAAAAATATAGGTGCCAGCCGGACATTTTTTGTCTTGTCCCGATTCTTAGACCCTTTATACTTAGTAACAAAAGGCAATCATGCTAATCAGTTGGGCATCATATAAACAATGAATGATTGGCATAAAAACGATATTAAACTTGACTTTTGATACAAATTCGAGGTACTGACGTAAACTGTTAAATTGACAGTGCATCATTCGAAGTGTGCAACATTAGCATACTGATATCTGCCTTAGAATCTTTATTTGTGCAAAATTACGTTGTCAAAATCTTTACTTTCGTTTTTGAGGCACATTTTCTTATACCGGATGTTGACTTGACAATGGTAAAACACGGACCAGAGACGGATACGAAAAATCCGTGTACGTTTACAAAGTACAATCGAGTTTAAGTAGCTCTTTCCAACGTTATTTCTTCAAGAAAATACCTGAAATGAATGTTAGAAAAAGGTATCAATGATAATTTAAGCATTTTTGAAGAATTCGGATGCATAATTAAATCTCACAACTGTGTACATGCACACGTGTGTTCTTTGTTCAAACAACGTGGTCCTGATGAGTTTTCGCTTAAAACCATTATAACTACCTTTTAAAAATTTTCATCAAATCATATTTATAAACATATTTTTGATAGTCTAAATCTTTTTGATTAAATTAATTAGATGCAAACCGCTGAACCGAAAATAACTTCCAATAGACCGATCAATGTCAGGTACATATTAGTTTACCTGTCACCTGAACAGGTAAATTTTAACTGTCTGACAACTAATTAACCTTGATTGTAACGAGAGGGTATTAAAGTAGGGTTTGTTTTGATAGTATTTAATCACCATGTCACTTTTATGACTGGAAATGTGGCTGTTTAAGGCAAAAGGTCAGGTCAAAAAGATCGCAAAAACTTCAATTTTTTTTCTGAATTATGTTAAAATAGCAAACCCACATTAAATGTCTGTTTCAGGTTTGGCACAACAAGTCATAAATATAATTTACCGGTCATGTCCGGAAAATACGACAGTTTTGGAAACCCTGCTATGATGTCATGCTTATTTCAACATTTTGTAGTATATTTTTAGCTAGAACACCACTTTAAATGATGTTTACCATAAATATGAATTTGGTGACCATATGATTATTTTACATCAGAATTTTGCACATGAGTTGTTAGCTTGAAAATAGCATGCTTCTTTTACAGATGTTTAGAACCTGGTGTATGAGAAAGAAACAGATGACCTCTGTGAACAAAAAGCACCAAGAATCGTGGGAAATCTATCAGTCAGAAATTCTTCAAGTTTGGCACCAATGGGCTAAAGGTAGAAACATTATTTGCTTATTGCAGAGACTTTCAAGTTATTGGTCTATAAGAGAGAGAGGATACCGAAAGGGCAATCAAAAATCATAAGTCCAATAAAAACAGACGACACCATGGCAATTTATTTTAGAATTGACAAAAGGTCAAACAAAGCAAATAAATTGGGTGATCTTCATTTTTTTTTTTCATATTGTCTTTCATAACTTTTTATCATGTTTGGTAGCTTTGGCACTGTATATTGTATGAAAATAGACAGTAATATGTTATTATTCATACCTACTCAATAATAATAAATCCACAGATGGGTCAAACCAAAGACTTGAAAATTGGTATTTGCTGCTCTCCACTAAGCATGTCTAGTTAGAAGTCAGTGCAAAAATTGTTTGGCTAGTAGTCAGAATAATCTCTGCACAACTTATCCATAGTTACACTGACAAACTTCATAGGACAAATAAGGACTGAAGTCTTGATTATATCATGTGTCTATAAACATAAGATATTTACAAAAAGTCACATTAGCAGAATTCGAACAAAGTTGGTTTTAATTTGATTTTTTTTTTAGCTAACAAGAAAAGAAGAGTATTAGCTCAAATAGTGACTCACATCAGACAGAGGAATACATTATGTAGGAACTTTGTAATGTGGAGAGAACAGACACAAAAACTACAGTTGGCCTCTAAACTGTATAATCTTAAATTAGTACAAAAGTAAGTTAATATATCTTATAAATTATCTAGTGTTGAAGTAGTTGTTTTTAAAAAAATGTTAAAGATTGATATATTTTTCTCAGATTCAGTAGTAGGGATTGCTGATAATGTGGAGATTTTCATTTATTGGAAAAAAAATCTGAAGCCTACTACCTATATTTTAGACAATGCTCATATGATAGGATATATTATTTCTACTGACTGAAATTATAAAATTGATTAAGACTCTCAAGTAAATGGAAAAATTTGCTGACACCTAGAATTAAAAGATTAAAATATGATTACTTGTTAATTTAATGTATCTGAATTTCTTTCCAGAGTTGTCATTGGCTGGCATGATGTAGCGCACACAAATAAACAGTTAAAACAAAAAGTTCTCAACTTCCAAGTCAAGTCTTATACCAAACTGGTAAGTAAACACACCATATATTTATATATCGGGGCTGATCCATAGTTTGAGTTTAGGGGGACCCAACCTTTATAATAAATCTGCCCCTGTGGATTGCTTATAATAGGAAATATAAGTTGATATGTCAGCCATTGAATGGTCCCTTGATTTTTTAAAGAGTATATCTGTTATTTTTCTGTCATCACAAGGGTTTTCCAGGATCTTGCTGTCATTTGAACATAATATATTAATGAAATGGCTTTAAATAATAATCAAATCATTTTTTTTTATTTAAACTCTTGTCATGTCTTTTCTAAATCCTTTTTTATCCATATTATTTACAGGTAATAAGGATGTTTAAAACATGGCATGGTGCCTACGTAGACAGATTACAGGAGTATGAGGAACATGAACAGTATGTACAGCGTGTAGCTCTACAGATTGCAAGAACATGGAGATATAAAGCTCAAAAAGCTAGAGGTCAAAGGTTACTTCAATATCGCCAACAACTAGAGGTAGATCATTTTTTCTTATTGAAGTTCCAAACAATGATATATATTTAGAACCTTAAAATCTGAATAGTTTAAAATGTACTGTTGTAAATACTGAATAATCCTGCTTGGTCCTGATAATGTCCAATTCAAAATAATTTCCACTCAGATTTTCAGACATAACACTTGAGAGAAATGAATGAGTAATTTGATTTGTTTAACCATTCAATTCCAAACATTCTAAATTGTCATATAAATGAAATTGTAGTCATAACATTGTAGACATTTTTTAGATGACTAAACAATAAGAAAGACATATAAAAAAGCTGTTTTTATACATTGTTAATGTCATATTATTTCTGTCTAATGTACGCCCAACCCATATCTTTTGTTTTCCTGTTAATCACTCTGTTTCAGTGTCACAAAACATTCATTTTTTCAGCCATTGTTATTCATAATCATTTCTAGTTTGCTTTATTTAATGGAAATCATTTTCATTACATACATTTAAGGACATGAATTTACTATGATTTACAAATTATAACAAAATAAAAGATATTTATCTGATTTGTTACAACGATTGTTCATGTTTTCCAGATGAAAAAATGTTTTGAGAGATGGCGTTACAATTATGATAGAAATCTAGAGAGAGAACATCAGTTGAAGAGATTAGTTGATCGTAAAAATTGGCAGCTGATGGGAGGATACATGGATAGTTGGAAGACTTCACTGTTGGCTAAACAGGCTATCAGACTATATAACATGAAGCTAACAGGAACAGTTCTTCATTACTGGCACACATTTACACAGAGTAAGGAACTTTACAAAGTCTTGTTTTTAAGGTTCCTATTACTAAATTTTGAAGTGCCCACACTGGCAAGATTAGCCCTGTTCTAGAAGTTTGCCAACATGAAGAACAGCAATAAAAGTGCTGTTTCTTTGCCTTTTGAGTGTTTTATTTGCTGTGCATCTACTGATTTTGTGTCATGGATGGATATTCCATATTCTTTGTTTTTCTATTTTACACTTGTATGGGTAATTGGTACTGCATTGGTTTTTGGTAATTGGAATTAATATACTACAGAGATTCCTAAATTGCATATAATTTATATTTTGTGGAGGCTTCCATTTCAATTTTCTCCCCATAAAAAGCCCTTACTATTATTGTGTGAATATAAGATTTGCCCTGTTATCATTTCCCTGGATGACCTCATGATTCTAAGCTCTTTGGTAAACCACATCACATGTTTTTTGAAAGAAAATACCAGCCTGATATTAGCTGAATCCTAATGAGACAAACATTTGAATTATGCATTTATTTCAGAATCCAAAAGAAGGTTGGAAGTATGCGCTGCCTATAAAGAAGCCTTATCAAAGCGACATGTAAAATCCTACTTCGTGTACTGGGTCAACATGCATCGAGCACAGAAATCAGTCGAGGGACACTTCCATCTCAAACTACAGATTCAGTAAGTCAATTAAAGCAATAATTGTATTGAAGATACTGTGGATTCATAATTATTCCAATTTTCATGGATTTTGTGGGTACAGTGGAACCACCAATTTAAATGTTCAATGAATTAAGAATTTTCTAAAGAAATGTATACAGAATCTGTGAAAAACAGGAAAAATACAAGTATTCCTTGATCCAAAAATTGACGCCTCAAAGCCAATATCTATTCGTCACAATGCTCTATGACACATTTTTCCCTAAATGACCACAGGTCAACAGGTCAACAGGGCCAGTTCTTTCATAAAATAGAAATTGGAATTTCGTGTATTGTATTTACCAAAGGTTTTTCAGATACTTTAAAGAGTTTTAACATAATAACAATGTCACATATTTCATTTACTTATGTCTTGTACAATGTATATATGCACTGTAGTATGAACGCTAAAAAGATCAATAAAAAAAGGGAGTCATTACATACTGAACGTTGACTTTCCTATGACTTCCTTGAAAAATTTCATTGCTGACAAACATATTTCTCAGGTTTGATGTGTTCACAAAATTACAACTCTTAAAGTAAAGGCTAAAGTATGATGAGTATGAAGTGAAGGATTATGAGTTGTTTGATTCAAACAAAACATGATGTTTATAAATTTCCAGATTATTAAAAGTGATTTTGTTTTCTTATAAAACTAAGTTTGCAACTCAACAAAAAGTATCATAAACCAGTTTTCGCCGTGCTGTGATCTGTATATTTTAGAATGAGTATATTTCAGAACAATATTTTTCTTACTTGTTCGCAGAGTGCTAAGATCCTGGCATGATTATACAAAGAGAAAACGTCATTTAATGAGGCTTGGGGCAATAATGACATGTAAGGTCAATAAACGGATCGTCAGTGATGTATGGAGTTCAATGAAATGTCAGTTCGATTATTACAACTCACTTACTGAAACAGCAGAGAAGGTATGTTAAATGGGGTAAAAAAAGTGACCATAAACTATTAAATTTTCAGATGATTGTTTGTGCATGTAGTGATATAATTCTATCCAATTTTAATCTTGCTCCAAAAAGATTATGCATGTCAATAGTGTTATTTTCTATTAAGGCTATTTTGTTTTTTCACATATTTTCTCATGGAAACTTTTTTCTAGCTGATATGTCCTGGTGAATTCGTAATACCCTGTCACATTTGAACAAAAGATAATGTTTGTATTGAAATGGAGTATTCTATAAAAATGATAAAAAAGGAGATATCAAGGGGACAATCAAAACCATAATGGAATGAAAGACAGACAACACCATGAACAAAAGGAAAAAGACAAAAAGAAAATAATCCACAAAACACAATAACCCCACCAAAAATCACAGGTAAATGCTGAAAGCAGTATTTGCTCTACTAGCAGTCATCGTTAAAAATACCAGAAACTTTTCATCCCACTATGCTATAATATTTATGAAATTATTTCATTTACAGATAGCCGAACAAAAAGACATAGAATGTGTACACAGTGCTTTACATGTATGGAGAGAAAGATTAAACAGGGTCATTGCTAGGAGATGCTATCATCTTTTGTTAGCACGTAGAGGTGTTAGGAAATGGAGACAATTTGTGGCCAGGAAAAAGTTGGAAAGGAAAATAGATGAAGAGAAAATGGATAAAGCTGTTACACATCACAACAGAAAGTTATGGTAGGTAGTGGAGATGTCCATTACTAGAATTCAAAATATCATGTTATTATCTCCCCTATGTCAACTAATTGAATTTAAAAGACAGCAACCCAAGGACACAATGCCTAAACACTGACTGGATTTACCTTTAGTACTGCATGGCATTCTGCACTTCTTGTTTTATTTTTTGTCTGATTGACTTTTGGGGTTTTCAATAGCAAAATATAATATGGAACTAATCATATCTGACAACATGAAAATTTTTGGTGGCCATTTTGATCTGGAACTCCTCCAGTGTATCAATTTGACATTAACAATTCTAAAATATAGTATATATGTGCAACTATTAAATGAGCATGTTTTGACTTGAAAGAAAATGCTGTTATTCCACTGACAATTAGATGTAAAATTAATGTGTATCTAAACCAATCCGAATTATGCCATTCTTTTGTAATGGACAAAGTACCCAGGGAAAGCACTTTAAAAAAAGGTGTAGTTACCTATCGGGGCAATTTTAAAATTTCACTTTCTTTTTCAGCTTATTTAGGCCTCCAGTATGTCATGATTCATCCTAATTTTGCCATGATTTTTTTCAACTTCTGATTTGCCTCAAACCTATCATAAATTGTATCAATTCTGTAAAACATTTTTGTCTAAAGGAAAATATTTGTTGTTTTTTTTTTCAGTTCAATAGCCATGGAAGCATGGTTGGATGAAATGAAAGTTGTACATCATATACAGTACCGTAAAAAGAAACTTTTACAGAAATTTGGATCTCTTTGGAAGTACAGAGTAGATTTAATATATACAGCCAAATGTGTGGTAAGTAATTTATAAAGAATACTAATTGATAAAGGAAAAATTTTAAAGTTCACTTGAGGGATCAAGGTCACAAACTTTAGTCTAACACTAGATTTATTTGTAAGACCTGTCTGGTCTGCAAATTCTAAATCTCTTTCACTATATTTGGATATTTAATTTGATTGCTTATTATTCTATTAAAGGTTGTTGCATGATAAAGTTTGTAAATATCTCAAAAAAAGTCAAGGTCACAATCACCAATATCAGAGGGTATGCTGTGATTCAGAATGGATTTTGTTGATTCTTTATGATTATAAGGAGATGTGGTGTGATTGCCAAAGAAAAAACTGTCCACCAAAGACCAAATGATTTGGATGTTAGCAATTATAGGTCACCATTCAGCCTTCAACAATGAGCAAAAGCCATACCTTATAGTAAACAATAAAAGGACTGAACCTGAAGAAATGTGAAACAATTCACTTAAAGAAGTTCCCGACATTATAGTGTGTTTTACAGGTTAATAAGATTGGCATATGAATAAAAAGGGATGTGGGAATACATCAACAAGATAGCAACCTATGATCAACAATAATCAAAAGACATCTTATGTGCAACATACTGTCTTCAACATGTATCTATAGAATATGTCAAGCTTTAAATGGTCCTTAATCTATTAAAGTTGTTTCATAAAATAAATTGATTAGAAGCAATGAAAAATCTGCCATCAACACTAATTCTCCAATATCAATTTATTAATTGAAGCTCTAAAACCTATATTCGTCTTCAAAAATCTCAAGGCAAGTGAAGTGTTACATACACATTTTCTACGCAATTTTAATCCTTTGGAAGATATCAATAATGCATGACACTGTATTGGCTGCCAACAGTCAGTATGTAGTGAATAAAACTCAGATACTATTTTTATGTGAAATAAAACCAATACCTATTTCTATTGTCTGCGGTGCCTAATATGGTAAAATTTTGTATTTGTCTCATCAAGCAATCTTGTATCCGGATACTGTTGTTTATTCTGATTAAGCTTTATTCTGTTTTAGGAAAGTGAGAATTTGATGAAGACAGCTTGGAGAAGATGGCGAGTAGAGTTTGCTAAGACCACTCCTTTGACAAAGATAGATAACTTTGAGACCAAACATTTGAAATCCACAGTAAGTACTCATTGCTTTTTGGTCATGGTTATGATTATGTTTTCTCCTTCGTCTTTCAAATGCTTTCTATTCACAATTTTAAGATGACCTTGGTACATTGTGATGTTATTTATTAAAAATGCAGAGTGATTCTAAAGATTTTGGACACTGATGGGGATCTCTTCCATTATACCATTACATACTAAAAAAGTAAAATTACAATTCTTATTGATAATTTATTCATGTTTGATATATACATTGTATAAGAAACAGATATCTTGATGGGGTTAATTAATTATCACATTAAGATTAATACTTAATTCCTTTCAAGTTCATGTAAAGGGTTGTTTTTAAATGCAACATGTTTGTAATTGTGTTTTATGTGTTTTCATGCTTGAATAGATATAAGAAGATGTGGTATGAGTGCCAATGAGACAACTCTCCATCCAAGTCAAAATTTATAAAAGTATTGAAGCTTATTAATCAGTGTGTTTCATACAAATCTTAAAAAAATATTATTCTAATTTTCATGTCCTCAAAAAATGACTGAAATTTCTGGACCTTTCTTCAGCTTGATAATGTTTTAAATATTTTAAAAATTATTTTAGGTCTTTTATGCATGGAAGGACTGGTATCTGAGAAAAAAGAGGTCAAAGATTGCAATGAAGAGAAGTCCATCACTAAATCATCTACAGATGTCTAGGAGCTCTTCAACAGAATCATTCTCAGCCAGACCGTCACAGATTCCTATGCCTGTTTATAGAGACAATCACCAGGGAAATAGTTAATACACTACTGACTGGCAGTTACTTTCTGTCAGCTCATTAATATGTTCATTTAATGTTAAGTTAAAGAGATGACTAGACTTTTAGGATGAATAAAATTACTAGAACTGTTATTATAAGATTGAAAATCTATCTTGCAAACCTATGTTTTTCTTGAGCAGACATTTTAACTTAGTATAAAACATAGACTGTTTGGTTAAAAAGACTTTAATGACATAAATTGACATTTGAATGTTGTAAATGATCATCACAATTTCATTTGAGTGAGGTCGTATTAATTGCTAATTTGATTGGGAAGAGGATTGGATAAAAAAGAACAGAAAATATCTCTCTCAGTAAAAGGACAAGTTTCTACTGGTGGATATAGATATTTTTTTACAAAATGAGTGAGTGAAAATATGATGTAAAAGATTAACATATGAGCAAATTAGCATTGACTTTCCCCAAATCCTTCTCTATTGTGAGTTTGTTAATTGTTTTAAAGATATTTATCTAAATGATACATGCATGAAGATAAACACTTATAATACAATGGTAACTTTCAGTATTACTTTGTAAATTGATTTGCAGAATGCCAGTTTTATCAGGATTAGAATTTTTAAAATTTTATTATGACAAGTACTCTTCCATTAAAACAAGCTTAACTTCTAAGGAAGATAAATTTTATAATGACAAGCACTCTTTCTAAGGAAGGCATGACAAACCTATCATAGATGATAGGTGTAATTTTTTGATGAATTTTATTGTGAAAACTAGTCTTTTATCAGTAAAAGTGGATACCTTTAAAAGATTTTCCTTTGATGTGAACTATTGTGAATGGACTAGTACCAATATGTGATATTAAGTGCTATTAGTACAAACCACAACTTAAAGTTGTTACGATAGTGTGCCAAAATAAGTTTGGACAAAGTTGTCTCCCCCTTGTCTGTGATATATTTTTAATACTTGCTCATAGATGCTAAATATAGATTTAGAATGATAGATGTATAAAGAATTTTTGTTATGTTATTTGTAAATTTTGATAATTTATTTTATTTATTCTGTTAGATATTATTTTATTTATTGATTAATTTTGTGATAGTCATGCCATATATTGTATTTCATGCAATATTCAGGGTTGTAGAAGACTTCTTGTTTTACCGAGAACAATTTGTGATTGCTACAAGGATATGTCTCCAAAAGAAGCTTATAAAAGATAGTTTTAGTTTTCAACATCAATCAAAATGTCTTTGACTGAAATCAACATATCAAATGAAATGCATTATAATAATAATCAATTTTTAATTTGTTTTCTTAATGAAATTTGTAAAGTTTTATGACCTGCACTTATTTCAAAGTGATATGATTTTGAATTGTCTGAGATGCACTTAAAAATGTGAAGTTATTTGAAATTTGTAGCTTTGAACACATTTTTACTTTATAAGATTTCAAATGTTTAGGTTTTACTAAATGCACTTTGGTGTTTGATTGGTCAATATGAATACAATGTAATATTATATGCAGGTTTACAGTGTGAAAAACTGCTGACAACACATAATACTTGTATGCAGGTTGGTGCTTTTAATATACTTGATGAAGAGAAAATAAAATTTTAAATTTAATAGTCTTTGTTCTGTAGTTTGTGACCTCGTTCAAACAAATACAGTTTAATAGAACATGTGATTGATTGATTGTTCTTTCTTAATGTCTTGAACATGTGAGTTGACAGTTGGGAGTAAATGCAGATAAGAGCTGAATTAATGGAAAGGAATAAACTTTTGTCTTTGTTTGGAATGGAAGATCTTTTGGTTCTAACCAAATATTATAAAAGAAGCTTTTTTACATACTGTATACAAATAATGTGGTATGTTATGATTGTCAATGAAACAAGTATCCACCAGAGACCAAATAACTCAGAAGTCAGTAACTGTAGGTCCTTAAATCAATAATGAACAAAACCCATACTGCATAGAAAGAAAGCTATAAAAGGTCCTGAAATGATAACGTAAAACAATTCAGCAGAGAAAACTAATAACCTGATTTATGTACAAAAAATCAATGAAATACAAATATGATATACATCAACAAACAACAATCACTGAATTACAGGCTCCTGACTTGGGACAGGCACATACAGAATTTTGCAGGGTTAAACATGTTAGCGGTTGCCCAACCCTCCACTGTCTTTGTTCACAAAACTCCAATGAAATGAAAAATTTTCCTGTTCTAACCAAAGATTATAAAAGAATAAATTTATGAAGTGGCTCTTTTGACATACTGTATAAAAATAAGAAAATGTGGTATGATTGTCAATGAAAAAACTATCCACTAGAAACCAAAGGACAAGGATGTAAACAGCTATAGGCCACTGTACTGATTCCAGCAATGAAGAACATTATACCATATATTATAAAGCTGTTAAAGGCCCTGGTTTATTGCCATAACAGTTTGTTTATAAACAAAACAACTTGGTCAAACATGAACCTTTAAAAGTTTTCCCTCTTGTAGAAAAAAATAGTGCATGGAACTTACACTTGAATTACATCAAATGGAGGTTGAAAAAATCTTTAGTTTCTAGTTTGGACTTGTCAATATATGTACAAAACAATAGTTTTTTTGTGTTCAATGATTTTCCAATAAATCTTTTTAAAAAATTATCTTTGAAGCAATTTGAACTATGCATTTTAAACTTCTGTATCAGACGGGATATATTTTGGTATACACTTACACTATACATCAATATGTCAACACCTCATACTATAAGATGATAGTGATGATTTCCAATTATGTAATATGTAATTCCAGAGTTATGGGACTTTAATCATGGAAAATTGGACATTTTCTCAAATTTTGTACCCTGACTCAACTTTACTGTGATATTTATTCCTGAAATTTTATCTCGGGCCAGGACTTGAATTGATCAACGTAAGCTTCCTTTCAGTTTTCATGATTTTCAGAGTTATGTGCCCGTGACTGTATATATCCAGTATGTTTTGATAGATTTCATAAAAATTTACACTGTTGTTAAATTTGATAGAAGCAAACTCTTCTGTATTTTGAACATTTTCTGGTTGTTGTTCCAGAGTTACAACTATTGCCATGGCATTGTCAGTTTATCTTGATTTATGAGATTATTTTTTTATTGTTACCTTGGTATCTTCCACCATGTTTTACAGGACTTTAGATGTCAGATTTAAGCACAAATATTTACTCGAGTATGCTTGGATCAAGTTATTAGAAACTTCACACAATTTGTGAGATTTGTGAAAGTAAGATACCCTTTGATTTTGATTTTGATATATGTTTTTATTTGTTGTTCCATGGTTATGGATCCTAAACCATTATATTTAAGGCATTTTTTACATGTCAGACATTGGCTCTAGTACGGTTGGATCCAGTCACTACAAACTTTACAAAACTGTTGAGATTGGTGACTGCAGACTTGCTTTTGATTTCAAAAAATTTCTAGAGTTATGTGAATTTCAACATTTAGGTAAATATTCATACACAGAAGAACATCTTCATACAAGTTTCTTTGCAGTGCCATTTTACAAACTTCAAATAAGATTCCTTAGTAATATTCAATTTTATTTTACCAACAATTTCAATATGGACAAGACTTTCTTACCATGTGCTCTTGGCACAGTCGCAAAAATAAAGTAAATCTTACAAAATAGTATAAGTTACAATAAATTGGGTATTGACAATTCGCTTGGAAACTCAACATATACTCCCACAAGTCGACACTAAAATAGGAAATTCTTAACAATCACATGTCTGTTCTATGTCTATGTTCCTTTTGGAATCTCAACCAAAGATGAGGAAACGAATCTTCATTCACTATACTGGATACCAAAATTACACAAGTGTCCATACAAACAACATACTCTTGCTGGGTCTAACAAGTGCTCAAACAAAACCTCTTTCCAAATAATTATCAATTTAATCAGCAATAAAAGCTGGACTTCTGAGTTACTGTAAAACTACGTACTATAGGGGTGGTGTGATTCAGATGTGAATACAAAATAAATCCAAAGATATTTTACAGTATTTACAATCTACTTGTCTTTCCTCTTGCAATAGTATTAACACATTTTTATTTTTTTACCCTTTACACCAGTTTTTCCTATTTTAAACTTTAAGACAGATTATTATTTTATTGACAACTTATTTGTAACGTTTGGAGGACTTGTCTTTCAACATACAATCGGCATTCCCATGGGAACCAACCGTGATTCTCCTGTCGATTTGTTCCTTTGTTCGGAAAAATGAAAAGAAGCTACAACCATCTTTTAACCCTACGTTCCGATATGTACATAATGTCACCTCACTATTAAATCAGAAAATGCCTGTACCAAGTCAGGAATATAACAGTTGTTATCCATTCGTTTGATGTATTTGAGCTTTTTTTTGCCATTTGATTAGAGACTTTCCGTTTTGAATATTTTTGTTATTTTACTTTTTAAAACAACCAAACAGATACTGAAGTTTCATGTTTATATCTGAATGCTTTCCTAAACAATGACGAAATGTCGCCTCTAAATTATGTATTTATGACAAACATAACGATTATATATATTTCGTTTCGTCAACTTTTCATTCTTGAATTGTTAAATACCTTGCACGTCAACATGTGGTGTTTACATATCAGTTGATAAGGAATGTCCCACATAAGTCGTTAAAAAATCGATAATGGACCAGAAATAATGTCCTACATCTTAAAAGTGTCATATGGGTAACACTATGTGTGTTCTAACCCTTTCTGTTCACATACACACAAACAGAGTGTTTTTTAAAAGTCATTAAATAAGCGAAATGACAAAATACACAAATTGGTACATGGTAACGCTGAAATATCCTGTAGAGAAGCTTCATATGAATTTCACTCCAAATGCATTTTGAAAGACATTTAGGCAAAAGCTGTTTACCGATGTTCAAATCTCATATAAACGGAAATGAAACTACATACGTTTCATCCGGTTTTTAGAAAACAAACAAATATAAAATGTGTAAAAACAACTTATCAAAGAGAGGCGAAAGATACCAAAGGGATGTTCAAACCGATAAGTCGAAAACAAACAGACAATGTCAATACAAAATAAACAACCAAAAAACGATCGAAGACAATAACAGTATACAATACACATCATAGAAAACTAAAGACTGCCACCAAAACTGGGGTTGATCTCAGGTGCTCTTGAAGGGTAAGCATATCCCGCTTGCACATGAAACACCCGTTGAAGATATCAGGCTTATAATTTAGTTTTCCAGACGCAAGATTTATCAACTGCACTTGAATCAAACAGTTGGAAGATCAAATCAATAACGAAATTTAAAAGCATTGAAATCAAATTTCCGAACAGTTGAGCCAAATCTAGCTATGGCCTTCTATGACTCAAAGTAGAAAAATCTTGATGTTGTGAATGACTTGATAATTCATGAACAGTAAATTTATAGTAGATGACTGCAACAATTATATTTTATGACTACTGCCCTTGTAATACCGGTCGAAGCGTCCGCTAATAGTGTTATCAACCCAGTGGTTGCAAAAACGTATCAAAGATAACAGGCTCTTGGAGTTCATGCGATTCCCCGGGAGTCAGGTTTTGTTTGTTACCTTGATTTGTTTCTTTCTAATCGATTTACGAGATTTGAACATCGGTATATAAGTTATTCTTGTTTCCAAATCCCGGTATTTCTATTGTATAATTGTAATTTGTCCACTTTTGAAAAATAAAAATATTGTTTAAACTAACATCGGTAAACTACTGTCGCTTTAATTGTCATTTGTTATGCTAGAAAAGCGTTTTATCTACACAAGACTCACCAGTGGCACTCTAATCAAAACAGTTTGAAAGCCACACTAATTATGAAATAAGAAAAGAATCATAAACGCAAATTCCAACAAAAAATGTTCCAAAAGCATGCATATGCCATCGATTTATCTTTGTGTTTCAAATGAACAGTAATTAACAGAAAATAAACACAGTAATAATATTTCTTGTCCAAAGACGGCAACTAACGACAACCACTGCATTACATGTTGCTGGCTTCGGACAGGCGCATTAAGGAAGTGGTGGGGTTAATATGTTTGTGTAATGCCAACCCCTGCTAACCTGGGATAGTGGTATAACAACACGACATAATTAGACCAACCTGTAACTTTCAGCGTGGGTTCTGTGTTTCACAAGAAATGATCAGCGATCAACAATTTTTCATGACAATCAAAGTATAAAGCGTATGTTTTCTATCAAGATTTTTTTGATAGTGTGCTGCTTCAACAAGGAAACTATTGCAACTAGGGTTCCTAATGGTAAAGTTGGAGTCATTCCTTTGAAATATTTACAATCACCATCATTATTTGATGGATTTTTTATGGAATATCTATGCCACAGATGACCGTGGATGTATTTCCTTTATCGTAGCAACAATCTCGTCATCTTTTCCTAGATTTTTGATATTACCCGTACCCAATAGAATTTATCACCGACTTTTTTCTTGCCGTTGTTAACCTCGACGACGAAACAACCATCAGCAGAGACATCAAGCCAATGAGTAAAAACTAAAAAAGATCTACAACTAGTTACTTATAGTTCCAAAACCTAGTGCCAAATCTATGCCTATGGGAAGAAAGAAATTGGTTTTATTGGTTAGATTTAATATTTAAGGAAAAGTTCATTTATGGAAAATGACTGTAACAATAACATCACTAAATCCTGTCAAAAAATTTTCAAAATATTCATCCCTTTATCTATACAGTAGAACTTATTTATATTCTAATTCATTGTTAACCAAACGAATATCATTGAAACGGGAAAAGGAAAATCCCAAAGTAATTTTTAATTTTTTACGGTCTTCCAAAATAAGGGGTGTAAACACATTTTCAGTTTAAAATAATGTTTAGGGTTAAAGTTCAACAAAAAGGACAATCAAAGCAATGTAAACACATCCATAACATGATCACCCCATATCAAAATTTTTAGGGAATTTCCAAACTAGATCAAACCAGAAATTGTTTCGAGAACGTTCGATGTCAGTGTAGATTTGGGACGCAAAGAGAGATCTGCACAAATTGAGACTTGAATAAACATACTGGAAAAATCAAAGCATGCAACAGGATGAAGGTAAATATTTAATCACATTTATTCTTATCAAATCAAGGAACTGTATTTGCCATAACGAAATTTTAACGACTAACTTTAGCATGATCATTCAATACATGTGACCTCAGGTATGGTTAAACTATTATGAATGTTATTACTCCCATTTTAGGTTTTTGCTTCTTAATCATTATTTTATTTCATCAATTTCTTAATTTTATTTGTTTTTTATCAATATTTTCACCCATTTCAATCTTTAATACCATAGTGTGATGGATACTAAAAATAAATCTATAATGTGTTTTTTATAAGTTATATTTAGAATCTTAAATTTCCACTATACATTAATAAACATTACGCAATATCTTAGTCTGTGTTCAGATGATAAAACGAGAAGTATTATATTTGTAAGTGAGTCTACATGACATTGTTATCATTTTCATGTTTGTCTTTTTGTTTAAAGAACAGAAAAAGGAAGAAAAAAAAACTGTTTACAAATACCTTTATAAGATTACATACACTCAAATATATAATCATTTCGACGAAATAAAACCTGAGTACCAAAGGCCTTTATTCCCCTGAGTTCTAAATTTACGTATCTCAACATATATGTAACTCAGTAAGTTCTCACTATGTACAAATATACAAATAAATGTGACGTACTAGGTTATGAGGTTGAGCGAATGATACTGATACTAAACATGATGTTTATTGGTTTATCGGTAAATTGTCTCAACTTCTAGGGACATGATTACTCTATCATGTTTCCAACAAATTACTTTTGTTAATCTGACATCTATACCGGGTTTTCCTCATGTTTATCAATGACACTTTTTACTGGAGAGGAATTTGAATTTGCATGGAAGATGATGCATTAATATCACTATCTTGTTTAGTAATATTATCATTATTCTGATTCAAACTGTTTTCAACCTCCTATATGTGTTTATGTGTATTGACTTCTACTTAGATTTATAGAAATAAGAAGATGTGGTATGAGTGCCAATGAGACAACTCTTCATCCAAGTCACAATGTGTAAAAAGTAAACAATTATAGGTCAAAGTACGGCCTTCAACACGGATCCTTGGCTCACACCGAACAGCAAGCTATAAAGGGCCCCAAAATGATTAATGTAAAACAATTCAAACAGGAAAACCAACGGTCTAATCTATATAAAAGACGAGAAACAAGAAACACGTATGATCCACATCAACAAACGACAACCACTGAACAACAGGTTACTGACTTAGGACAGGTGCAAACAAATGCAGCGGGTTAAAACGTTTTAAGATGTCTGTTATATGATAACCACAAGCACAATTGTGACTATTTGAACACTCTTCAATTAAATAAATCGTTGGTTATGGTACGTTATGTGTAGCCTAGGATCCTGGTCGGGTTCTTGTTTCTATTGTCGAGCAGACAGCCAGGTTCCAGAATGCTGTATATCATTATCTGATACTCAACAAAATAGTTACGATGAAGATATAAGCTTTCGGTATAAATAAACATATATGTGATATATAAACGCAGGTTGATGTATTCACGGATTTCTTTCCTATTTCCTTTCAGAATCAAAATATGTCTCGCATGTTCCTCCTCTTGTTCATATTACCAGTGTCAGGCCAGGCAATGAACACGGATAAGCAGTGTCCTGTCAAATATATACTGAGGCCCACCTGGAATAAAACTGAACAGCATCATTATTGTTGTAAGAAGTTAGAGAAAAACTGTACAGCAGGTGATTAGCTTTTTTTTTAATTAACATACTTTGAACGGACATTGTGTCTTATTTATATGTTTCATTGAAAATAATTGTTTTTCGGAGTCTTCAAATGTTTTATTTCATAATTAATTTCCACATAAAAATTCACATTTTGTAGAGTTTCTTCATAAATCGGTACCATTTTTTCCAATTTCATCTACTAATATTCTTTATGACCGTAGATGCACTAGTGTTTATTTTTACCACCAAATATCATTTTACACAGGTTTTCCTTTGAATTTTGGTTCTGTTATATTGTATTTTCGTGTACCAAAAATGTAACATCTATTTATCACCAAATTTATTCATTGTTTACATTTCTTTTGCGTTTAAGGATACTACGTGGAAACCTGCAGCAGCAATCTCGGTGAAGATAAATGTTTGAAGTGTAAAGGCTCTACATGGTTAGCTGATGAGACCAATTCTGACAGTGTTCATCCCTGCTTACCGTACGATTCCTGTCCGATTGGTATGTTTCTACATACATTCATATGTCATAATAAGAAAGTTAAATCGCACAGTTTTTTTCCTTCTTATCCTTCTGTTAAAACAATAGATAAAAGCTTTTAGCAACCATATATTTTTGGAAACGTTAAGACTAAACATTTGACTTTGACCAATCAAATTCCCCAAAAGAAGATACTCAAACTAAGTAAATTCCACGGAAGTCTCTCTATTCAATGCAGATTTGATAAAACACACACCAACCATACATATTTCGGAACGTTTTGACCAAAACTTTGACTAGTTAAAATTGAAATTCAAAGGTTTGTCATTAAAATTTGTGAGAATTTGCTAGACGTCTTTCAGAAAATCGTAATTTGGAAAAACATCTAAGAAACTATATAATTTGGGAAGCATTTTGACCTCAAACAATTGAATTCCAAAAGGATGTGATTCCAATTTTGTCAACCTCCTTTTAAGACTTTAAGACCAAAATTTTTGAAGAAAAGAACAATTTAAGAAAAAAATGCTAAGGTTTGCAGTTTCTAGAGAAACCATGTTGGTAAATTTCCTCAGTCCCTTAAATTTTTAATAAAGATATAGGAACTATATATTTTTGGTAACATAACGTAAACATAAATGTTGATAAATTTTCTAGGAATTATTATCAAGAAAAAGAAAAGCACATCTTTAACATATGTTTTGGTGAACATTATGACCCGAACATTGACATGATAAAGAATGTAGTTAAATTTTTTATGATTTTCCTGGACGTCTTCAGAAAAATCGTGTTTTGAAATATCCTCTTAGAAACCAGATATCTTTGGAAACATTATGACCTACACTTTGACATGGCACCATTTAATTTCAAAAGGATATGATTCTATTTTTGGTAAATTTCTCGAATGATTCTCAAACCATCAACTTTTTTATAAAGGTATTAAGCAATCATAAATTATAAGAAACATATTTCTTTAGCATAAATATGGAACACTTTCTTGCTTTTCCATTTTGGAAATCTACTGATAGGCTATCATACCACTATATTTGAATTAACCTATCTAGCAACCATACATTTTGGCAACCTACTGACAGCAGAGCATTCAATCATTATGATCAAAACATTTCCTTGCCTTTTGTTATTTTTTTAACTCAATATTGAGTCTATTCATTTGATACATTTAACTGTTGCAGAGTCCAAGAGAGTTGACTATTTGCCAAGATCTGGTTGTAGAATTCCATGCATATGTGACACAGGAAGAAATTACTTCGGATACAATGGCTGTAATTGTCAATTGTTTGAAGGTACATGTCAAACAGGAACTAGATTGGCACTTAATGGTTCATGTGTAGATGAAAGGTAAGACAACTTTGTGTTCAGTTTTTTTTTGTTGGTTGGTGTTTAACTAATGGACACTTTATGAACTAAGATAAAACCTAAAATTTGTTTACAAAAAATATTCAGAGGTTACCGAAAATATCTAAAAATCTTTTTTCTTCACGACAATCCAGCACTGAACGATTTGTAAACTAGTCTTTGGTAGGTCGTTGCCTCATTGGCAACCATACCACATCTCCTTATTAGTCCCCTGCTGACGAAGTCGAAGGGGACTTTAGGTTTGCACTCCGTCCGTCTGTCTATCTGTCTGTCTGCCAATCCGTCAGTCCGGCAAATCAGTTTTCCGCACCTTTTTTTTTCGTGCTTTAATATATTGATTTGATATTTGGTATATTGTTTTATCATGACAAGTTACAGATCAAGTTTGAATTTTGTTACGGTCTGATGATTTTGTGCAGAGTTATGGTCCTTGGACTTAGAAAATATACTCAAATAATCAGTTTTCCACACTTTTTTTCGTCATGCTTGAAGATATTGATTTAATAATTGGTATATAGTTTTATCATGACAAGTTAAAGATCAAGTTTGAATTTTGTTCCGGTCTGATGATTTTGTGCAGAGTTATGGTCCTTGGACTTAGAAAATTCACTCAAATAATCAGTTTTTTACACTTTTTTTCGTTATGCTTGTAATTGACTTGATATTTGTTATATAGTTTACACCATGACAAGTTATAGATCAAGTTTGCATTATGTTCCAGTACAATGAATTTTTAACCGGTAGAGGACTATGTATTGCAATGCTTTTTAAATATTATATTGGAAGCTGAACGAATTGTTCAGCAAATATCTGTACCATTTTTGTCTAATGACTGTTTGACAATATATATCTTGTTATCAGTATTTGATAATATATATATATGTAATGGTAACACTACGACTATTGAAGTTATATTTTAATATATCGGATGTGGTCGAGTGGTCTAGAGCGCCGGACATGAGGCTAAGCGATTGGTGCTGTAGTGTATCCAATGTGTAAGTTTAAATCCCGTCGAGGGACAAAAATTTGTCAGCATAAAAAATCTAATTCTAACACTGTTGGGTTTAAATTTTCAGACTTATATATATTATATATATATATACAGCACAAACAACATTTTCCAAAAGACCAAAAAGTGAAAAAGTATATTTTAACAAAACGCATTTGACTAGCAGGTCGAACAACGGATGTTCTTAAACCCTGCTGACTGCCATGGCGATTGCCAAATAAACTGATCACAGATGTAACAAAATGGATCTTAATTTTAATCTAATACCAAATAGAAAACAAAAATCTTGCGGAAAAGATGGTATACCGCAAACATGAGGTGCAAAAATTTGTACACCATATCCGGATTTCGACAATTAATGTCTCTTCAGTGATGTTAGGAATCGAAACGGTATTTGGAAGGCCATATAATTTACCTCAATTTGGGATTGACTCTTGAATTTTGAAGAGTCGAAATAGATGAACGGATCATATAAACCCGAAGGCAAATATAATACAAGCCCAAACGAAAAAATATAAACAAGTCTAAATTGAAAACAACGTTCAAACCTATGATTGCGTTGGATAAAAACCGCAATTATTATACGTGTGCATGCAAAACAAATTTCTTGGTAGAGGGGTCTAAATACAGCACAAACAACATTTTCCAAAAGACCAAAAAGTGAAAAAGTATATTTTAACAAAACGCATTTGACTAGCAGGTCGAACAACGGATGTTCTTAAACCCTGCTGACTGCCATGGCGATTGCCAAATAAACGGATCACAGATGTAACAAAATGGATCTTAATTTTAATCTAATACCAAATAGAAAACAAAAAACTTGCGAAAAAGATGGTATACCGCAAACATGAGGTGCAAAAATTTGTACACCATATCCGGATTTCGACAATTAATGTCTCTTCAGTGATGTTAGGAATCGAAACGGTATTTGGAAGGCCATATAATTTACCTCAATTTGGGATTGACTCTTGAATTTTGAAGAGTCGAAATAGGATGAACGGATCATATAAACCCGAAGGCAAATATAATACAAGCCCAAACGAAAAAATATAAACAAGTCTAAATTGAAAACAACGTTCAAACCTATGATTGCGTTGGATATAAACCGCAATTTTTATACGTGTGCATGCAAAACAAATTTCTTGGTAGAGGGGTCTAAATACAGCACAAACAACATTTTCCAAAAGACCAAAAAGTGAAAAAGTATATTTTAACAAAACGCATTTGACTAGCAGGTCGAACGACGGATGTTCTTAAACCCTGCTGACTGCCATGGCGATTGCCAAATAAACGGATGACAGATGTAACAAAATGGATCTTAATTTTAATCTAATACCAAATAGAAAACAAAAAACTTGCGGAAAAGATGGTATACCGCAAACATGAGGTGCAAAAATTTGTACACCATATCCGGATTTCGACAATTAATGTCTCTTCAGTGATGTTAGGAATCGAAACGGTATTTGGAAGGCCATATAATTTACCTCAATTTGGGATTGACTCTTGAATTTCGACTCTTCAAAATTCAAGAGTCAAAACTGTGATCCGTTTATTTGGCAATCGCCATGGCAGTCAGCAGGGTTTAAGAACATCTGTTGTTCGACCTGCTAGTCAAATGCGTTTTGTTAAAATATACTTTTTCACTTTTTGGTCTTTTGGAAAATGTTGTTTGTGCTGTATTTAGACCCCTCTACCAAGAAATTTGTTTTGCATGCACACGTATAAAAATTGCGGTTTTTATCCAACGCAATCATAGGTTTGAACGTTGTTTTCAATTTAGACTTGTTTATATTTTTTCGTTTGGGCTTGTATTATATTTGCCTTCGGGTTTATATGATCCGTTCATCCTATTTCGACTCTTCAAAATTCAAGAGTCAATCCCAAATCGAGGTAAATTATATGGCCTTCCAAATACCGTTTCGATTCATAACATCACTGAAGAGACATTAATTGTCGAAATCCGGATATGGTGTACAAATTTTTGCACCTCATGTTTGCGGTATACCATCTTTTCCGCAAGTTTTTTGGTTTCTATTTGGTATTAGATTAAAATTAAGATCCATTTTGTTACATCTGTGATCCGTTTATTTGGCAATCGCCATGGCAGTCAGCAGGGTTTAAGAACATCCGTTGTTCGACCTGCTAGTCAAATGCGTTTTGTTAAAATATACTTTTTCACTTTTTGGTCTTTTGGAAAATGTTGTTTGTGCTGTATTTAGATCCCTCTAACAAGAAATTTGTTTTGCATGCACACGTATAAAAATTGCGGTTTTTATCCAACGCAATCATAGGTTTGAACGTTGTTTTCAATTTAGACTTGTATATATATATATATATATATACTGATAACAATGTTGCCGTATTTGTTTATATCAAACAGTATACCAATGGTTAAGATGATTTTAAAAGGAGATTTCATTATAACAATAAATATTATGATAACTGCTTTTCTTTCAAGGATTGCACAGCAAATCAACAATTTAAAACCACTTAAAGACGGAGTTGTGATACCATTTTCGAGACCAACAAACGATACAGGTAATTTTATACTTACTTTCTAGATCTGATAGTTAAATAGTTAAAATAAATGTCATAGGCGTACCTTTAATTAAGTTAAAGATACCTGCAGAAAAAATGCAATAATCTAGATATTTGGATATAAGGAATTTGTTTAAAAAATGAAAACAACACGTTAAGAAGTTCATGCGTCCGAAGTGCTTTTCTGGATTTACCTTCATCAGGAACGTTCAAAGCCAAATATTTGAAAGCAAAGAATGTATAAGAACCGAAACAGTTGAAAAGCTATATTACCAAAAGGACCTAGAAATAGCTAAATCAATCTACGTTCAATTTTGCCTGAGGGAGTTGAAACCTTATTTTTTCTATAATTTAAAAAATTATAAAGGGTTTAGCCAATTCTACTAGACAAAATAATTAAGAAAAGATACTGAAGATAAAAATGAAACAATTAAAATTCAAAAGGCGAAGAAAATCCTGGAATTCTCGTGCAAAACAAAACAACAGAAAACAAAATCTATAAAACACATAACCGTAGCCACACGAAACCTGTAAAAGACCGGGGTGTTAATTTTTTGTACAAAGTCTAAATAATGTCAGTAATGTCAATCATTACATATACTTAAATAAATATAGTGGATTTGTGGACTTTGTTATCGTCTGTTCATTTGTTTATTTCTTTTGTTGTTTGTTTTGCCTCCTCTTATAATTTGTGATTGCCACCTTACGTATCTGTTCCTTTTTAAAACAGTTGAAGGCATAAATTAGATAAGGCTTTAGCATAAATGATCATAAATATAAAAGGGAAAGTGTATGTATTTAGTCTTAGTCTTAATTATTATATCAAATATACTGTAATATTAGCTTCTTGAAAAATATATATAAAGTCTGGGTAAATGTCAAAAGTTTAAAAATGCATGTGTACATTTTAAGGTAATGGGAATTATTCACATCTACATAACTTTCAAAATAAACTTTCTAAAATCGACTGTGCATAAGTTTCACGTTCACAATCCCAGCGAAAATGTGTAAATGTGACAATTTTTCTGAATATGGATTCGCATGCATAGAAGGAGACGATTACCATGTCGGTGCAAACAGCCCCGCTTGTTTTGAAGTTCTGACAATTCATGTGTTGTTTTGTACCTTGATTTTTATCTTCTTATTAATGGAGAATTGAACATCGTTAAATTGCTGTTACATCTAATAAATAGTATATAACATTATCGTTTTATTTTTGCAAGGTTGTACATTTTAATCCCGTTATCAATTTTAGTTTGCTCTCTTTTTTTTTTATCGTGATTGAACAAAGAGTCACCTTTTAAAAAAAAAGTTTCTACTTTGCATTTTAATATAAAAAAGCCTGTAGCAGGGCAACATCATTTCTAACTATCATGATGAAAAGATTAAGCTATTGCAAACACTCATATAAAAAAACTTTATACTATTTTTTTAAATTAATTTCAGGACAGAAAACAAAAAGTCATCTTCAAGAAAATGAATGGAAAATTGGAAGGTATGTTATCAAATCCATATATCTTTATTTCTGTCTATATAATTAGTTAATTACATAACAATTCAAGGTTTACATATCACATATAATATCAAATTTGAAAAATGAAGTAATAAAAATAGTATTTAGATGAAGATCTGTATTTCATACATTCCATTCGTATTTCAAAACAAGCTATTTCCCAAAGTTTGTTATATATATGTGCATACATCCAGTCTCATGTAATTTCGAAAGCAACTTAAAAAACAATTGATTCTAGCTACAATCAAATATTCAAATCATAATTCAAGCATCATTCATTTAAAGAAATATAGATATGATATTTGCTGAGAACTTTCTGCTAATAACAAATGCGAAAACATTGAGACTTAGAGTATTTCTTTTTCATTTCATCAATTTGGAATACTAATAGACTAGTTATATACTACGGTTAAGGGAAAGATTTTATTGTTTTTATTTTCATCATTATAGATGGGTAATAACGGTGGTAGCTGTGGTTGGCTTAGTTGTAATAATCTGTGCATGCAAAAAATTAGATGTTTTGGGAAAATGTAGAAAAGGTATTTATCTTTCATATTTCATAAAGTTATTTTTTACCTTTAAGGCTTTTTGTTATTTATAATGCTTTGATTCTTTTATTTAGCAAAGGTTTTCATTTTTTCCCTTTTTTCTCTGTTTTTGAATTATTTTCATACTTCCACCCTTTATTCAACACTGTTTTTTTGTTTAAGCTCAGTTAATAAACATATTCAGTAAAAGGATTTGTATCAATTTATATCCCAGATTTATTAATAAAGGAATTAATCATTGATGAAAAGATTAAAATGAAAATTATCTCTTTTCCAAAGTTATGTTTGCTTTGTATTTTATTGTAGATCAAGGACAAGACACTTCATTGGATACAAACAAAGGAAAAACCAAACCCTTGCTGTCGGACTCTGCAGACTCCGGAATATCTGTTGGAGTTCAATCAAGCTCATCAGAGTTCACAGAAGTGAAGATAAATGTTGAGCAGACAGAATGTGTACATACGACAAAAAATCAAGATAATTCATCCCCGTTTGACTGCGTGAAGAGTGTGGCTTTTGTAAAACCATTTGAATATGAATGTGGTATGTTTCTTGTATATATCTGTAAACATAACTGACACCGAAAATGTATTCCGTATAATATAAAAATGACAAGATTTAACTTTTTCCTATCGAACATCTCAAAATACGATATTTGACGAACGCGACGATTTTGATTTTGGTAGCATGTCATCTATCTAAGGTTACGGAAATTCATTAGCAAAGTACATACCCCTACTTAAAAACTCCAAAATAAGGTTGTGAGAAAGAATGTCTAATATCACTACTTAACAAATCCTACTACATGTACAATAAAAATTTGGAATGTTTAATCGTTAAAACCCTTTTGCATTATCGTTGCTTTTAATTGATGTATATTTTGGCACCCCAAACTTTCGGTCCCAATAAAGAAGTTTTCAGAAACATGTATCGAGATCACGGAAATAGGAAACACCATTTGTGTGTAAGCTAATGGATCTGACACCGGATATAATTTTCGAATTGTATGATAGGTAATGCATACAACGCAGGATTTTCTTACCATGACGAGAAATATGACTTAATTTTGTTTAGACATATTTCGATTTCAATTGTCTTCACTTCCATGGTTATTAAATATCTATTGAACATCGCTGATTTGCCTTTGTAACATAATTTCACATTCAGCAGTTTTTAATCGATTTGTTTTAATCATTAGAAAGTAAGCGATGAAAATAAAACTTGATAAATTGTGTGCGTCTAAAGCGTTTCTGGATTCACCTTCATTAGAAACGATCAAACCCAAACATATGAAACCCGAGGATGTGTAAGACCGTATCACGCGAAAAGTAATATAGAAGACATCCAACAACCCCCTTTTAGACTGACAAATTGAGAAATGTTTTCTTTAGTAATGTTAGGATATTTTTGTCTTCACAGAATCACCTACAAATGATATCGAGGTTGGGATGACATTGATGACACCAGCTGATACATTACAGATTCAAAGACATTTACATTTAACAACAGGTCATCTTGTACATCACCAAGTGCCTTTATCGTCACCTCCAGAACCAGTACAGACATACACGCCGCCTTCAACTTATGCAATGGTACAACAAAGACATTTAGAAGGAGAAAATATCCAGTATAACCAGAACGTTCAATCCGATTTTGTTGATGTCCAACATGACTTTGGTTCTACTCTAAGTTTAAACATCAGTTGATAATTAAACAGATTAGAAACTTATTAAATTATTAGCTAACAATTGTGCAGATAAGAAAAATACTGATCTGAATACTTGGAAACATTTGAACAGATTTAAAGAAAAGCTGAACTAAAAGGTCAGCAATTATCATCATGTTCACTGGTTGAATAAACGAAAATATTGTATTTTTACATCATCTCATTCAGATATATATATATATATATATATATCATATATTAATTGCATATCAGTACAAATGTGTATAGTAACTCTTTAATGAATTTAATCCATCTGATTTCCCATAATATAAATCAAACACATTCATGAAGTTAAATTATATGTTAAGCATAAATAGTTGTATATTTAACTCAATGGCATACGGTTAATCCGTGTTTCAGTAAAAAATATCTGTAATAATTAAGGTTTTGTACGTAACTGTTCAAATTATATATCGAACTGTTTAATTATTGACAGGGCGGATCTTACTTATTAGTCGTATAGTGCAACCAATACTATTTGGTGAAATGTATTTTTTTTTGTGCTTCGTGATGAAACATTTTCGATAAAAGAACAAATTAATTGATAAATTTGATGTTTGATAATAATTCTGTTCTAAATATTACAACAATAGCTAATTGTGTGACTACTTCAACTATTATGGATGAATGTAAATAATTAACAGTATTTTTTCTTATAATATGTGTGTTGTCGTTATGTTTTGATTGTTCGTTTATATGACAATAATCATTTGATTTTTTTCATTAGTTATACACTTTTTGTTAACAATTATGTCTTTTTACAGTTGGATATTTTAGAAATGTCAATTTAAGCTAAATTTTTAATTATGAAATGTGAGGAAGCACTGAAAAAATCAGGAGTATTTTATCTGAATGAGTATAAAAATAAAATGTAAAGCAAAATGTACAATTCTTGTATATAGTTCACACTGTGAACTCTGAGGACACGTTGGTTCTCCTCACTAAACCAATAAAGAATATTATTTAAACTTTTTTTATTTGAGTATTGTCGTAGTCACTGAGACATTAAGTAGTCAATTCAATGTCTTATGTTAATTGACATCAGTACAGATTCATCATTTTCGATCTCCATGAAATGCACTTTACCTATAAAACAAGTCCCATGGGTATCTATATATTTTCATGCCTCGCTTAACAAATTCGAGATTGGGAATGAATAATAACAAGCTTTAGTTGTTTAAGTTACCAACTATATTTTTCTGATATATGAAAAGTGACGAAAATGCTTAAAGGAAACATAAAGACTCCCTTTTTGTGTTCTAAAAATATGTTACCTGGTAATCCAGTATATTGATAATAGTATTTTTAGATGCTAAGTATTGTACCGCAGAATTAGTACCAAACGTTTTTGCAAAGTCCAAATACCATTTCATTTGGTAATCAGTGGTAATCATTGAAGAAACTTTGTATTGCCGCCTGTGCATGGTGCATATAACTCCCAGTTGATAAGATATTTGAGAGTTTGTGTTTCCTACCATGATTTCCGTAACAGAGATTTGATGCTTTCACAGGGGCATAGGGTTCCGAATTGTAAATTGCAAATGACTGAAGATATGTTATAGTAACGAATTGCAAGAATACCACTGCTTTCCTTTACAGTGATTTTATCAATTTCTTGCCATGATCAGCATGACGGGCATTTGTTAACTATGAAATGCTAATATTTCCGGAGAGAAAAAACAGTTATAACAGACTGGTGCTATAAAAGGGGGAAAAGAATAGGATTTAAGGAGTAATATAAAAATCTTATTGTAAGTAAATTTGAATAAACAATGAGCTTTAAGTTTCACAGCAAAGCACTAACCATTTGCATCAGATATTCCATATACAACGTATCAGCAATAGAAATAAGTCTAAAACACATCATCGCCAATTGTCATATCAAGTATTTGTAAAATGCATACATTTTCCAAAAAAGTGAAATAAAAAAAATCCGAGGAAAATTCAAAACGGACAGTAAGTAGCAATTGGCAAAACCAAAAGCTCAAATACATCAACCGAATGGATAACAACTGTCGTATTCCTGACTTGGTACAGGTATTTTTGAATTTAGAAAATGGGGGATTGAACCTGATTTTATAGCCAGCATAAACTCTCACTTGTATGACAGTCTGTTTTAATATCATTATATTGACAACGATGTGTAAACAAAACAAACAGACATATTAGGTGAAAATGTCAAAAATATGGATGCAGCAGTCAACATTGTGTTATAATCCTAATTAAAAACAAACAAATATGTCAACAAAGAATACAAAAAAGCATAAAGACAAAGCACATTAGCAATAAGAAAGACTAAAATACACAAATTTACCATAGCACATTTACGCAATGACGGGATGTACAAGTACCGAGCCATGTGATATAGATATTACCAAAAATAGACTAAACAGTAAAAGTAGTAATATACAAAGACAAATAAAAGAATACAATAACATGAAATGATTTTCTGTTATCCTTATCAAACATTTCATTTGTTTTGCTCTGGTTATTCAGACACAAGTGGAAGAAATGTAAATAACACGTCACCTTGATTTGTCTCGATGTATTGGATTTGAACATTGGTAAACTACTGTTGCCTTTAGTAAGCGCTACTTCAGTATGTAGAAATAAAAGAGATACATATTTTTCATAATCTCTTAACGAATATTTTTAAACAACCAGAATCACGGGAAAGGCAATCATTTATGAAGACCATGGCATATGTGGCAGCACCAAACAAATCATATGAAAAACGTTTATAATGACAGCAATACTTAGGACTTTTTTCATACACTTTTGATAGAGATGGTTGAATAAACGAAGATAAGTGGCAAACAATGGAATTATGAAAACACATTTGCACTGGCCACATAGAAACACGGCATCTTCAAACTATACAAAAATCACACCCAATGTGTCAAATGTATAAATCCCATTACATCATGTTAGATAAACAACTTTCATCAACTTTGTTCCTCGTTTAATTGAATTCATAAATTCTGTCTAACATATATTATGGAACATATCAAGGTTCTCACAATTTAGAATGAAACAAAATTCGACAAAAACGCAAACACTCTGTTATTCAGCGAAAAGATATATACAGAATTAATTTTAGTGTTACTGCATGGTGCATTACATAATTTAGAATCATTTGTAAATAGAACATTTATCCATGAATAGCTGGTAAACTGTATAAATGGGTGTTTTCTTCAATTGATTGGAATCACGTTGACCCTTATGATTAGTACGACAATTCCATGCAATTTGTATAAAACATGTTTTTGGTGGGGTTCGTGTTGCTCGAATTAGTCTTTAGTTTTCTATGGACAGGTGTGTCTTGTGTTCTATTATTTGTTTGTTTGTCTTTTTTTTAGCCATGGCGATGTCAGTTTATTATCGATCTATGTGTTTGAATGTCCCTCTGGTATCTTTCACCCCTCTTTTACAAAACATGAAATTTTCGCGGATATATATGTCATGCAATGCACCTATTAATATACTACTCAACATGTAAAAGATCTAGAGGTTTAACTGGTTTAAAAGTAATTCATTTCTTACAAAAGTAAACACAAAAAATACAATATAAAGCAAAGTTTACAAATCGCAAAATAGTTCACAACCTCATTATCATTTTAACAACTATAATATTTTGTAATGGTTGACGTGAATCTTTAACAATTCCATTATTTCTAGATTACTAAACCAAGGCTGATCTTATGATTCAATAACATGTCGTATATTTAGCTCAGATTGCACATTTCGGATACATTCCATTGACCAGGAAGGCATATTAACTATATAGTCCGAGATTACTCTGACGTCCAACGGCTGTTTTGCCAGACAAGCTGGGGCAGTCCCCGGCCCCAGCTTGTCTGGCAAAACAGCTGTTGGACGTCAGAGTAATCTCGGACTAATTAACTATAATGCAAAGCTTAAGCAAGTTTTATGTTGACTTGCGTCTATACATACCTTTTTCGCAGAAATATTCTAAAAAAAGGTGAGGGAAAAGCCTTGTTTATTTACGAAAATGTACTATTTATAGACTCGCCACCATCACGACGCCTTATTGAATTGAGAGCAATTCACATCAAATCTGGCTTATTTTATGGATAATAAGAAGATCAACTTCCAAAGTTGCAGGTGAATCTGCAGTTTCAAGATGAAGGTATGTATTTATATCTTTTTTTTTTACTGAAATACTAATTAATATTGATGTTTATATGAATTTATCTGCTTTAATCGATTTTACATCGCACTATACTATTAAAAATAGATCGAACAGTAATGGCGTATTTTGCCCATATAGAGTAATAATAGATCAAGAAAGTATTCCTAAATTAATTTTACAATATTCATATGAATATATATAAAAAGTATTCTGTTAAGTGAGAAAAAAAATCTGTGCATCCTTTTCAGATGAATGATTATGAATGAATGAATGCATATGAATGAATGAATGAATGAATGAGAATGAAAGAATGAAAGAATGAATGAATAAATTGAGAATGGAAATGGGGAATGTGTCAAAGAGACAACAACCCGACCATAGAGCAGACAACAGCAGAAGGCCACCAATGGGTCTTCAATACAGCGAGAAACTCCCGCACCCGGAGGCATCCTTCAGCTGGCCCCTAAACAAATAAGTATACCAGTTCAGTGATAATGGACGTCATACTAAACTCCAAATTATACACAGGAAACTAAAATTAAAAACGATACAAGATTAACAAAGGCCAGAGGCTCCTGACTTGGGACAGGCACAAAAATGCGGCGGGGTTAAACATGTTTTTTGAGATCTCAACCCTCCCCCTATACCTCTAGCCAATGTAGAAAAAACAAACGCACAACAGTACGCACAGTAAAACTCAGTATAAGAGAAGTCCGAGTCCGATGTCAGAATAGGAAACAAAAGAAAATAAACAAAATGACAATAATACATAAATAACAACAGACTACTAGCAGTTAATGACATGCCAGCTCCAGACCTCAATTAAACTGATTGAAAGATTATGTCTTCATCATATGAATATCAGGCACAATCCCTCCTGTTAGGGGTTTAGTATTATACCGTCATGAAATATATGAGAAGAACATAACCCGTGTCATGCCAACAACTGGTTTTAAAATAAATGTGTTAATTCCGATGCAAAGACCCTATAAGTGAATCAATATTAAAGCCAAAATATGCAATCTTTAATGACCTGACAACAGTATCGTAACTATCCCTTCTTAATATGTCTGTTTAAAGGTTTTGTTAGCTTTAGAGGTGAATACTGACATTTTTGTGCTTTGTAAAGAATATTACCATAAAAGATTGGACGTGAAATACCCGAACGTATAAGATGTCTGCATGTTGAGTTATATTTACGAATGATGTCTTTATACCGATGATAAAACTTAGTAAATGTTTTGACTAGTTTATGATATCGAAAACTCTGGTGTAATAATTTTTCAGTAAGACATAAATTTCTCTCGCTAAAATCTAATACGTTGTTACATACACGAGCGAATCGTACAAGTTGAGATATATAAACACCATAAGATGGTGACAAGGGAACGTCACCATCTAAAAATAGATAATTAACGATAGGAAATGAAAAATCATCTCTTTTATCATAAATTTTTTATTAAGCTTCCCGTTAATGATATAGATATCAAGAATGAATAAATGAATATGAATGAATGAAAGAATGAATGAATGAAAGAATGAAATAATGAATGCATGAATAAATAAATCAGTGGCGGATCCAGAACTTTTTGTAAAGGGGGGGGGGGGGGGGGGCTGACTGACCTAAGAGGGGGGGGCCGCTACAGTCACGCTTCAGTGATTCCCTATATAATCAACCAAATGTTTCCCACGAAAGGGGGGGGCTGACTGACCTAAGAGGGGGGGGGGGGGGCCGCTACAGTCACGCTTCAGTGATTCCCTATATAATCAACCAAATGTTTCCCACGAAAGGGGGGGGGCGGGCCCTGGATCCGCCTATGTAAATGAAAGAATGAATGAATGAATGAATAAATGAATGAATGAATGAATTAATGCAAATGAATGAATTAATGAATGATTAAGAATGAATGAATGAATGAATGAACGAAGGAATGAAGGAATGAAAGATTGAATGAATAAATGAATAAATGAATAAATGAATGAATATGAATGAATGAATGCATATGAATGAATAAATATGAATGAATCAATCAATCAATCAATAAATGAATCAATATGAATGAATAAATGAATGAATGAATGAATGAATGAATATGAATGATTGAATGAATGAATGAAGGAATATGAAAGAATGAATGAATGAATGAATGAATGAGAATGAAAGAATGAAAGAATGAATGCATAAATGAATGAATGAATGAATGAATATGAATGAATAAATAAATGAATAAAAGAATGAATGCATGAATGAATGAATGCATGAATGAATGAATGAATGAATGAATGAATGAATGAATGAATGAATGAATGAATGAATGAATGAATGAAAGAAATGAATGAATGAATGAATGAATGAATGATAAATGAATGAATGAATGAATGAATGAATGAATGATTGAATGAATGAATGAATGTATATGAATGAATAAATGCATGATTAAGAATGAATGAATGAATGAATGAATGAATGAATAAATGAATATGAAGGAATGAAGGGATGAAGGATTGAAGAAATGAATGAAGGAATGAAGGAATAAATGAACGAATGAATAAATGAATGAAGGAATGAAGGAATGAATGAAGGAAGGAATAAATGTATAAATGAATGCATGAAGGAAGGAAGGAAGGAAGGAAGGTCTGAATGCATGCATGCATGCATAAATGATTGAATATGAATGAATGAATGAATGAATGAATGAATGAATTTTCCTTTCTTAGTAATATGATTTAAATTACAGAGCTCTTGAATGAATGAATAAATGAATGAATGAATGAATGAATGAATGAATGAATGAATGAATGAATGAATGAATGAATGAATGAATGAATTAATGAAGGAATGAATGAATGAAGGATTGAAGGAATGAATGAATGAATGAATGAATGATCCTTTCTAAGTTATATGATTTAAATTACAGAGCTCTTATGTGTTGATACAGTTCTTCGTCGGAAGTTTTCTTATATACCCTGTTTTGACATCAACCAAAATATGCCCAAGAAATTATATTCGTAGAACCTCACATGATTCAACTGAATATTGCTGCAAAAAAGTAGAGAATAACTGCCCCGCGGGTGAGTAGCAAATAACAAACAAAAACAATCATTATTAAGATATAATGAAAATATTATAGAAGTGGAAAATTTTTTTTTCTAAGTTTCTATGACCACTGCTGCACAGTTAATATAATATTATTGATTTTTTCCTCTTCTGTGAGTTAACTTAAAATCACCACTAGCCCCATGCAGTTATGGCCTTATATGTTGCTCACTCATCTTTAACACTATAACGGAACTACAAACAACTGTCATGAAAGGAGTATGACAGTTGTATTGCATTCGCATTCCGTTGTTTGATGTAGTTTAGCGTTTGGTTTTGTCTTGTTTTATTGACTTCCTCATTTTTTAAATGCCTGGGAGTTCGGTATTTTTTGTTAAAGTGTCTTAATTGCTTGTATTTCCCTTTGCCTTAACATTCACAGTTCTGACCGAACTGCAATTTGTTTGATCAAATCGAACTTTCTACTGGTCAGAAAATAAACCAACTGCAAAGTCAAGTCATCAATGTGCCAAGTGATAAAAAACCTATACCTACAATCTTAATCGACCTTCATTGTCATATTTTAGAGTCAAGATATGAGCAATCTTAACCGTATCTGTGATGTTCTTTATTCCAAATTGGATTGGTAGATGCGTTCCATATAGTCACGAAACTCTTGATTGATTGATTGATTGTTGGTTGCATAACGTCCCTTGAAACTTTGAATTATTTAGTAAAAGGACAGTGTCTATATACAGCTACTTTTTATTTCTCTGAGAATCTCTTGCATAAAATATTCCTCATATGAATAAAGAGACAAGTCGGCAAGATAGGGGACACAGTTGGATGTACCAAGTCAGAAATATGATAGTTGCTATCCATTCCTTTGATGTGTTTGAGCTTTTGATTTTGCCATTTGATTACGGACTTTCCGTTTTGAATTTTCCTCGAAGTTCGGTATTTTTGTTATTTCACTTTATGGATCCCATAAGAATGCCTATTGTTTGTCAGAACACGTCATCTAAACGTAACATGATCGATTTTTTCCTTCCCAAAAACAGGATATTTGTATTAACGTTTGCCATTTTTTTTTAAACAAAGTTTGACTAGTTCTTCAAATCGGTGTTTTAGTTTAGAATGAGTATATTATGAGAAAATGCCTGTACCAAGTCAGGAATATAGCAGTTGTACTCTAATAGAATTTTAAATTTCTCTGCTGAATACCGCACTGACCTGGAGTAGATAGTTTTATAGCAACTCATTCTTTGACTTCTGGTCGAGCACTTGACAGACCACGCAATAAAAGGTTTATTTGTAATTTTGTCATCCAGTACATCTAAGGCAGGTCCAGTTCTTCATATTAGATTGAAATTCGCTAGAAACATAAAACATATCAATTATTTCCTGTTTGGTAAGTGTCGCGTGTGTAAATGTTGAGTTACCAAGTTAATTTTTATACCTAATTCCGTCATCAAGCAGTTCTGAAATGTTATTTACAACAAGAGCGATATTGTTTGCTGCGGGGACAACAACCTACATGTCATGGAGGTTAGAGTCATGTAGATAGATGTAGCAAGTGTTCATAGACCTTTTAAGTTTTTCCATACTAAATTGTAACAACATCCTCACAGCCTTAAACAAACCTGAAACCCTATATCCAATCTGAATGAGTATCGAGCTTTTTTTTTTGCGTTTGTACCATTACTTTGAAAGACATGGATATTTTTTTTAAATTTTAGGGGACAGTTGCCAGCTCTGTTCACACCAATATGATAATTTAAGCTATTTACCTCGAGCATATATAATAAATTTGTTAATTTAAATTATCGTTCCTGAAAAGTGCATACTTTCAATTTGCACAACACTCCTAAACAAATCACATGTTACATTAACTCTGATATCTCTGATTTTAACATTTTTAATGCGATCCCTACATTTCTTCGATAACTTTTTTGCATTCTTTTGATGAATTGTCAATAATCAATTTAGGAACTTTTGTGCGAAAATGTTCCAACAACTTAGGAAAGGATATATGCAAACCTTGCCCAGATGATACCTGGATCGCAGATGAAACAAATTCAGACTATCCTTTCCAATGTGAGGAATATTCTTGTCATTATGGTAAGTAATATATAAGTTCAAATTACTAGCATAAAAAACATTAGTTTACCTCTCAACTCAATAACATTATAAGCGGTTTATTTTCATAATGCTAATACTTGCTATTTTTGCCAATGCGTTCTCAGTTTATTTTCGAATTATGCGTTTGAATGTCCCTTTACCACTTGGTATCGTTCGCATCCCTTCTATTATGATGCTAATTTATAACTATTTTACAACTTGTGAGTTCCGTCCAATCATAAACACAAATGTGTCTTCATCCTACCACATTTATGTCGCCTCTTGTGGACAACTAATACACTACTATTACATCATTGCACTTATTTCTGTAATAATAATATTAAACGTTGTTCTTGACTGCCAATCTGTCAAAATATACTTTTTCATACTATGTCTTCTTTTTTTTATATTGAAAACCTTAATTACTTATAGGTGCAAAAAGGGTCAACTATCTTTCGACATCAGGTTGCAGCCTACCATGTGTTTGCGATACTACTAACAACTTTTATGGACTTGACAATTGCAATTGTAAGGTGTTTAGTGGAAAGTGTAAGCATGGAACAACACTTTCTATCAATGGATCATGTCTTTCGGTCAGGTATTTAATAAATTTATAAACATTCGAATAAAATGTAGTCAAAACAATGTGTTTGAGAATAGTGTTCATAATTCTATAAATCAAATACACCAGTAAATTATTCATTTTGAAACAGAATTTTTTGTCTTAACAATAAACAAATGCACATTCTGTTTTGTTTCAGATTGTAAGATATTCGCACGAGATAGAGCAAGAGCATTTGAAGCCAATCTCAAGAATACATGACACATTTTAGTTTTCCAATAGATGAGAAATATGTCAATGTTTAATCAGAGCCAGATGTACAGGACTTCACTGTATAAAAATGAAACGGGTCCTCATTTCTGCTTCAGAACTACAGTTTTAGAAATGTGTATAGATAGTTTATGAACAGATAACGTCACTTTTGCTGCTGTTTACAATAGTCAATAGTTTACAGCAAGATGTATATGTATTTAGCGTCTTTACTACATTCATAGCAATAACATTTCAAAAAACATGTCTTCTTTCAATTGTTATGAGAGTATGACTGCCGTATGCAATATAGTTTTCGCTTTACCAGATGTCTAATTCAATTCATTTTTTTTTATTCAAATAAGACACCAATTCAAAGTACAAGTCTTAACAATCTTGTAGTAAAATATGAATATAAGAAAGGCATTTTTTACTTTGTCCAATTAATAATGTAATTTGATTATGATATATTTCTGAACCATTATCTTAATCAGTTTATTTGCATCATCGCATCCGACATTTCTTTCTTTTCTTCTACATTAGAATAGCAGAAGAGATATATACAGTAAAGCTAGAAGAACCAGTATACATTCCCATACAAGAAATCACTGACAATCATGGTAAGATTCTGGCTTCGATTTGGCATGACCGACGATTTCAATGGTTTCCTTCAGTTGATCAATATGAATGATTTTTTTTCATACATGAATGAACTATGCAAGAGTTATTGAACATAAAAGATTTAATACTGAATTTGAATCAAGCATTATGTATTAAATATACCGTAGTAGTATGTAACCCTTTACTTATAACAAATGCTACACTGATGAACAAGTGATCAATTTACTAGAGTTTCTTATTGGCAACATATTTGTTGAATTAATATTAGGAGGTAGACTTTTCAACAAGGTGTCGGCATTCCTAAGGGAACGACCTGTGCACCTCTCCTTGTCAACCTCTTCTTATTTTCTTATGAGTCGGAATTCCTTCAGATACTTCTAAAACAAAGAAGATAAAAGAAACGTGAAACACTTATATTATGAACCACATCAACAAACGACAACTACTGAACATCAGATTCCTGACTTGGGACAGGTGCAAACAAATGCAGCGGGTTAAAACGTTTTAATATGCACCAACCTTCACTCTTATCTGAAACAAAAGTGTAACATCACAAAGTAGATTGTTATCAGTAAAATGGAATTCTATACGACTTTTGTACAATGAGAGGTTTGGCTAGCTATAAAAGCCTGTAACAAGTACAGAATATGACAGTTGTTTTCCATTCGTTTGGTGTGTTTGAGCTTTTGATTTTTTCATTTGATTAAGGACTTTTCGCTTTCAATTTTCTTTGGAACTTGGTATTTTTGTTATTTTTCTCTTTACTACCAGGTAGTATTTGATGACATTGTTATTAAATTATAGAGTTTTATTGTAAAGTAATTATATGAAACCCCATACCCTTTTCCCAAGTTATCATCAGACTGTTTATATTTATTTCTCTATTCTCGATTTGGTTTGTAACTCTAAGTTTGACTCTCATAAACTGTGTCTCGAGCGTACAACGAAAAGTTTATTCCTGGAAACTCATTGCACACCATCAGATCTAAAGCAAACACACAACACAAGTAATTTATATCATATTTATTTGCCTTCTGTGTATTAAAAGTGTCAGGCGAGCACAGCATTTTGCTCTTTTTGATTTTGTCTTATCAAAATCAAATGTATGACAAACTGAAGAAACATATAGTCTTGGGTGTTATTGTGTCTGATTTATATTTCAGAAGAGAACAAAAAAACAGCTATCAACGGGAATGTACCAAATATTGATATTTCGAGGTAATTTATGAATTGGCACTTAGAAACAATGTTTTGTTCAATGAACAATAACTATCATTTAAAAAAAATATGGAAGCGAGTTATGTCATGATATTTTCATTTCGTTTTTAATAATTTTATAAATAAAATTGAGAATGGAAATGGGGAATGTGTCAAAGAGACAACAACCCGACCACAGAACAGACAACAGCAGAAGGCCACCAACAGGTCTTCAATGCAGCGAGAAATTCCCGCACCCGGAGGCGTCCTTCAGCTGGCCCCTAAACAAATATATATATACTAGTTCAGTGATAATGAACGCCATATTAAACTCCAAATTGTACACAAGAAACTAAAATTAAAAATAATACAAGACTAACAAAGGCTAGAGGCTCCTGACTTGGGACAGGCGCAAAAATACGGCGGGGTTAAACATGTTTATGAGATCTCAACCCTCCCCCTATACCTCTAGCCAATGTAGAAAAGTAAACGCATAACAATACGCACATTAAAATTCAGTTCAAGAGAAGTCCGAGTCTGATGTCAGAAGATGTAACCAAAGAAAATAAACAAAATGACAATAATACATAAATAACAACAGACTGCTACTAGCAGTTAACTGACATGCCAGCTCCAGACTTCAATTAAACTGATTGAAAGATTATGTCACATATCAAAAAAATGTGCACTTATTATTATAATAATCATATACTTTTAAAGGTAATATATCTGACATGACAGAATATTATTTCATAGCAGCTTTAGGTTTGCTTGACATCACATGATTTTTTAATTTATATTTTCTTTTATTACAGGACCACAATTACCAAAGTATCCTCTTGGGGAAATAAAACAGGTAGGAATACTAGAAATAAGAATAGTCTTGCAGCTCTTCTATAAAAGCATGCAAAGCAAACGTTTGATCAACTTGCTTGCTATGTTTGCATGGATGTTTGCAAACAATAGGTAGGCGGAGTTTCAGTCTGTTTTGTATATACTCGAATTTGATTAGACAATAAAAATTGACATGCAATGAAGTTATTGTTTATTGTCCAATCAAATTCCAGTATATAGTAAACAGACTGAAACAGACTACCTACCTTTTGTTTATAAACATCCAAACAAACATAGCAAGCAAGTTGATCAAAGTTTTGCTTTGCATGCTTTTATAGGAGAGCTGTAAACAAAATTAGTATTTCCTATACACTGTTTTAGTAATGTTCCATTTATCAAAACAATGATATATTTTCCAAACTCTGTTTTACTTTAAGAAGATATAGTTATATCGTTGAATCCTGTAGATTTAGTACTTTTGGATTGAAGTTTTATTGAAGTGTGCGCCACATCTCCTTTTATGTGTAGTATTTGAATGCAACAGTTTAACATTATTAATTATGATATTCTACAAAAATATTTAAAAGATTTAATATGTTGTGGTTCATATTGAAAATGTTTGTAATAAGAACTGCTGATCATTCATTAACCTGGTGAAAAGTTGTGTGTGCTAACAGAATATAAAATTATAAATATAAAATTATATGAATTTTTATATTGTGATAACTGGAATACTCCTAAGTTGCATTGACATCACAGTGTCGCCATTCGCACATTTTTGTATTTGCAAAATGTAATATGTATACAACAAACACATTTATTTTGTCGCACGGCACTTTATGGTTTTGATTCCTAGATCATAAATTTAAAGCCATTTTTATACATAAATTATGTATTCATCACAAAAAAAAACGATATTTTTCTTACCTCTTCAATGGTCTGAATAGTAACAACTTATTGAAAACCAATATCTAAAAAAAATGAATAGTTATTTGAGTGTGGTTTATGATGTTAAAAAATTATACAAACCTAGGCCTACTATAGAAATCAAAACATAAAGTACCACAACTGCCATAATTTATATACAACAATTTTCCAAGCACCATTTAGACAAGTGTTATCATTGCTTAATTACTTAATGAATTATTTGTGATTAAAGAAGAAGCAGTTACTTTTTAAACATATTTTAGATACAGAGACTAAGGAAATTGTGGATAACACCATCAATTCAAAAATGTACGTACTTATGATAAGCCAATATGTTTCATTTTAAAAAAATGAATGATTCTCATTCCATATATATCTGCGATAGTTTTAATGATATCCAGAGGCTTTAAACGAAACAAAGTCTGAAAAAAATTAAAACTGGAAACTGATACAAATTTTGAATATGAAATATATGAAAAATTTAAACATTATTTACTTGCCAGGTTTGTTTTGTTTTTGTTTTGTTTTGTTTTTTTTTGTTTTGTTTTTTTTTTGGGGGGGGGGGGGAACATCTGTACATGCTTTACTGATCATTTTACGCATATTTATTTTAAATATTCACTTAGCTTTATCATATTTTATTGCGAAATAGACTTAAACAAGTTATTCCAATTAACAAAGGTCGTCTGCAGCTAATAAACAAACATGATAATACATATATACAAAGAAAGATGAAAAATATCAAATTAAACAGTTCAGTAGTCATGAATTGAGATGTTGCTACTGCATCTGGCTTTTATAATAATGGCTGTTCTGGTTGGGCACTGCGTAAATGCTTTTGGCATGGTTTTTTTATATAGCATATTTGGGTCCAAGCTATTCGTCTCATGTGTATATGTGTAGTTCCTGTAGCAAATATAATGCTTACTGAAGAGTTATAAGACTTCCTTGTGCACAAACAGATTTATTTAAGAGTATGCAGTATCATTATGCCAGGCTTACACATTCATCTATGCTAGTATGTTGCTTGTCGATGAAAGCATTTTATTATTATAATTATCATTATCGCTATCTTAAATAATCAATTAAAGGCAGCTATGGTGTTAGTTAAAAAATCGCTGTCAAAAACAGTTGTGGATTGAAAAAGAGTTTGAGCACGGGAACTTCCTTCAGTAGAAATATAAGTGATGCTAAATGACTTTTAACTTACCAACATTGAAGTATTGGTATTTTAAACAATATTTGCAGTATGTGTATTTATTATTAGATTAATATGTTAATGACTTGTAACTTCTGTACGACTTATTTCTTTATATCTTAACTGTAATCTCTATTTTTTTTCTGCAGACTTATAACGATTATTGTTTGTTCTGCTACTTTGGGTCTTTTCCTACTAGCATTTTTTGGAGTGAGACAATTCAGACGTAAAAAAGGTAATTCATAGAGTTTTACCTTTTTATAAATATTTAGCAAATTCTGTTGTTTTCAATCTCAATATATATGTATATTTATGTGCAGTTAATTTTTCAGTGCTCCCGAAGAAGTTGTATTATTCTGGAAACCTTTATCCAGTATTGTTTTATTTCTCAATTACGTTGTTCGTATTGAAACAAGAACACTAGCGGTATTGCAGCATGCTCAAACAACTGATGTAATTACATGCCACCCAAAATAACATTTAGGATATGATCTAAATTAGTATAAATCAAACATAAACGTAATTCATTTGCATTTTTTTAAACTGATTTGAATAGCATTTTCCCAAAATTATCTGGTAGATAATTCCATAAAACAGCATGTGCATACGTAAAAGAAATTTCACCGTATAAAGTAAATGTTCGAACCCAATGTAAAAACTATATGATTGATAAATGTTACAATAATTAAATATGTTGCATTTGAAATCTTCAAAAGCAAATAAAAAAAGTCCGACAAAAATACCGAACTCCATACCAGACAAATTCGAAAAGACATGTCGACAGAGAGTTTTAAATCTATATGAAATTCAAAACAGTCGGCAATCATATTCTAATTTAAAGTGATAGATCTTTCGCTCAATAATGGTAGTTCATCGTACGTACTGATATGTCCTTCATATATATAACATTGTTGTGCTGATGTTTAGAGTAGATATATTAAATCATGTTAAATCTATATAAATCGTAAAGAGTATGTTTTTTCCAGTCTTGTTTTTTATGCCCCCGCTGTAGCAGAGGGGGCAAACAGTTTTACCCTTGTCCGTCCGTTTATACGTACGTACGTCCCAAAGTTGGTTTCCGTCCTCTAATTTTAGTTTGCCTCAACCAGATGTTATGAAACTTATACAAAATGCTAATTACCACAAACACAGATCAAGTTTGAATTTGGGTGGCGTCACATTAACTGTTCTAGAGTTATGCTCCTTTACAAATTGAAAAAATGCTGAATTTTCATTTCTGTTCTCTTACTTTAGTTTGCGTCAACCAAATCTTATGAAACTTATACAAAATGCTTATTACCACAAAATACAGATCATGTTTGAATTTTGGTTCTGTCATCGTTCTAGAGTTATGTCCTTTACAAATGGAAAAATAGCTGATTTTTTTATTTCCGTTCTCTAACTTTAGTTAGCCTCAATCAAATGTTATGAAACATATACACAATGCTTATTCTCACAAAATACACATCAAGTTTGAATTTTGGTTGTGTCACTTTAACTGTTCTAGAGTTATGCCCCTTTACAAATGGAAAAAATGCTGAAGTTTTTGTTTTCGTTCTCTTTCTTTAGTTAGCCTCTACCGAATGTTATGAAACTTATACACAAAGCTCATTAACACAAAATACAGATCCAGTTTGAATTTTTGTTGCGTCATTTCAATCTACTTAGAGTTATGCCCGTACAAATGGAAAAATTGCTTAATTTTTCATTTGCATTCTCTAACTTCAGTTAGCCTAAACCAAATGTTATGAAACTTATACGAAATGCTTATTATCACAAAATACAGATCAAGTTTAAATGTTGGTTGTGTCATTTTTACTGTTCTAGAGTTATTCCCATTTACAAATGGAAAAATTGCTGAATTTATTCGTTTGCTTTCTCTAATTTAAGTTTGTCTCAACCGTTATGAAACTTAAACACAATATTTTTTTAAAATAAAACACAGATTAAATACATATTTGGGTAGCGTCACTTTTACAGTTCTTCGGTTATGTCCCTTTAAAGCTTTATATGACATGCAAGCGGGGGCATCATCTGTGTCATATGGACACATTCCCCATTTATTTTTAAACAAAAAATAATGTGCAATATAATTTTTAATGCAGGGATGATACGTGAATCTTCAAGTTCCAAAGAGAGTCCAAACTCACAAGATGACGAAGACATTACTGATGTAAAGATCACAGATTGCACATATGTTAAATCAACGGATTCCGGAATATCTCTATTAACTACATCCTCACAAGATCCAACTGAAAAGAGAGTGCAAGATGAGTCACCATTGAGTTCCATAACACCATTTCGAGATAAGCAAGTTGCCTTTGTTTCCCCTATACTACAGAATCACGGTAATTAAGAAAAGTCTTACTTCATGTCATTATAACATTCTCGAAAAAAAAGTGAGTAACATGCAGACGCCCAAAATTATCTGAAGGACTCGGTATTCGTATTTAGATCAAGAGAAGTGGTATGCTTGCCACTGAGACAAATTTCCAACCGAGACCAAATGACACAGAAATTAACAACTTAACAGTCACCGTATGGCGTTAAACAATGTGCAACATCCATACAGCATACATAGCTATGGGTTGGGGAATTAAAACTTCAATGCTATATTTGAAAATATTAGCGCCAACTTTAATTTCAGATCTATTTGGTTTCAAAGATTTCAATCATCCTAACTATACCAATATGCAAAATGTTCACACCTGTAGCTAAAAACAAGCTTGATGACCTTTAATTTTTATCGGGTATCAAATCATATCAAGATTTAAAATTTCGGTAAAGTTTAAGAATAATTTATCATTTTTGTTAATATTCCATGTATATGGATACTTCGCCAGATATTGTTTTTAAATAAGAACGTACCTTTTTGTGTGCATCGATTGTTTCCACATATGTATAAACAAGTCTTCTGTCTGTCAGTCTTTCAGTCGGTAATCATGTTTCTGTATGCTAAATCAAATACTTAATATTGGAAATATAATCGGAGAAAGCAATGTCAAGATCATAGAAAGCCATGACAACTTTATTGGGCCTTTCACGGGTCAAGACAAATTTTGATATATGGTTAGATATGATTGATCATAATTGAGATTATCACAGATTTGCATTTATTTGGTTCTTCATTTTTCTTTACAGCTGACCATAATCAAACAACCGTTCCTTTACTAGCAACAGATTCGAATGAAACACCCTTTATGGCATTATCAACTTCTTCAATGGATTACATCATTCAACAAAGACCAGAGTTGTAGTTGAAGATGAATGCAGATCGGAAGAACCGAAAGCTCAGATATCTTTGTGTTATTGATTTAAAGAGATATGAATAATTTCCCCTGTATTTATTTCATGCTAGGAATTTTTATTGAGTACATTCAACCTTTACTTAAATTCACAGTAGTACAGCTCCATATGCGTTGTTTGATGTTCTAACAATTTTATGGCCTATTTCTAAAAAGATCACCATAATATTAACGCAAAATCAAAAACCCACTAATTTTAACTGATTTGGAAATTTTCAGTATTCATAAACCAAATATATTGAAGAAGGAAATCTTAACTATTTCATTTGAAACTTTTTTTTATAGTTTTGTTCCTACGCATGTAAATTTTCTGAATTTTGCATAAAATTTTAAATTAGATAATTTCAATTGATTTAAAAGAGTGTGTTTTAGAAAAAAAACCAGTTTGAATTACAGACGTACTGCTAGACCGCATCTTTCAATATTTATATCCTTGCGAGTTTCGGCGTACAGGTTAAGCAATTACAAACCGTTCGATTATACAAAGAATTCAGAGATAAATTATATAAAACGAGTCACATTTTGTTTTGCGAAACAAGAGTTCAATTTTATTAAAGCTACACGTGCTTCGGATATGTTATATTTTTTTTAATCGTCGATAGATGCTCAGGTGAGGTCATACACTTTGGAAAATTATTTTTATGAAATTGATAAATAGCATGACGAATACATAAAAAAGAAAACTGTGTCACGCCAGTGACTTCTCCTGTAAAAAAGGTTGTACGCAAAGTGTCTGTGTTTTTAGCTTTTAAAATACGTATTCAGAAACTTTAGGTAAAGAGAAGTGGTTTGGTAACCGAGGTATTTGATGCGTAATACCGTTTGTTTTTAATACGCTGTATATTAGTATATGTGATATTTCATAACTACGGTATACTAACTATGAAACGTCAAGGCATATATACATGCAGGTGCCTTTACAAGGATCTGCTTGCCTTCGATGAAAATCTTATGTATGTGTTAGATGACACAGAAAACATCTAAACATATACATTTGTTATGTGGGATGTCAGTGCATAAACATTGTATGGTTTCATGCATGCATCCTCCTAAAGGTCAATTATACAATGTATGATATGGTCTGTAGGTGAGTTATGGTGTAAGGTCTGTTGTCAAAAGTCGATCTTCTTCTGTATATAATATGATTGGATTCAAATTTATCATGAAATTATGTATTTTTTTTTATCTTTTTTCTGACTTAAATATTGCTTTTGTGTTAAACCAGTATACAAACTTCAAAAGGAAACAGGATAAAACCTTCTTTGTCACAATTGGAATTTTATTATAACATATTTTAATCAATTTTTCCAATTAATAAAAAATAAAAAATTCTCAAGTTTTTAGTGCAAATGGAAGTTTCTTTTAAGCTTTCTCAGACAGAAATTGTCTATGGCTAATTTAGGTCATATTTATATTTGCTCTTGAGCTAAAATTGTTTAGCAAGCTACTATAATGTATTACTTTTCTGCTACCAAAATGGTACTTATACCATACTCAATCTTGTTCTTGATCGACAGTCATATAATGCGTCGTAGACTGTTCTGAAAGCATGCCTGCAGAGGACTTCCTTTAGACAATGCAATATTTTATAAATTGAAACTTCACAGTCAATTTAGGAAAAGAGCATTGAGATTAATGCGTATGTCAAAGTATTTAAAAAAAAAAGAGAGAAATTGCTACTCTATAATAAAAGAGTAACGCATTTATTAGAGTTAGGTTTAAAATGTATAAAATTTTCAAATTCCCATCATTATTATTGTAGAGATATCTTGTAGATTTTGTCAATTAGAACTTTTTTTTATGTCTAAACTATCTTTTGTTAGAAAATTGTTTTAATTTGGGGATGTTCACTTGTATTTTATTCGAATATTTTAGCATTCTTATTTTTAAATATTTGTATCTATTTAGTTATATAATATGATCGTAAATTTTGTCAATTTAAAATGTCAGAACTTTAATAATTTTTGTTTAATAATGGTGATGGTTTGGTGCAAAAAAGGGCTTACTTTTCCACGAATAAAAAGAAAGGAAAATACAACTTCCATAAATTATAATGCACAGAAAAAACCTACACAACAAAGAATATGGACGAAAGAAGAAATAGAACACACGTCAAAGAGACAGAAACCCAAGGAAACAAAAATCCCCTAGAGACAAACGTCAACATAAGTCATGATATTTTGGTACAAAGTACAGTTTGGATCAACATAAAATAATGTTCAAAAAGATATTATGAACCTTCATTCACTCACAACTTCATTATTTTCCCACTCTTTTATATAGCGTCTTCAAACATATGAATAATTACATACACATATATAAATGAAGTATTGGAGGGAAAATGTTGCAATGGAATTAGTTGGAGTGGGCAAATAAAACAGATTTATAACAATAGAAACTTTGAATTCACAATTTGACGTTTATACATAATATCCTATCTATAAAACATTATTTTCAGTTGAATAATAAGGGTCGTGCATAATAACATACCGGAACCATAAAGTCTGAATAAATTGTAAAAGAAGTGATATGAAGTTGATGTACATGGTACAATATTTTCATGCAACACTGTAAAGTTAAATAACAAATTTCCAAAGTCATTAGTCTGTTGTAAAGCGATTGTCGTTTGTTCATGTTTGTCACATTTCTTTTTTCGTTAGTTGTTTTGTTATAAATTAGGCCATTGGTTTTCTTGTTTGAATTGTTTCACATTTTTCATTGAACTCTGTTGGATACTGTTGTCTCATTGGCAATCGTACCACATCTCCTTATTTTCAGAGTATGGGCTTAAATTGTTTATCTCAATGTATTTTGGCATAAATTTTTATGAGAAATTTAATTTTCGATTGTCTTTTGTGATTTATTCACAGTTTTTAGACTAGTTAGAGGCCAGTTAGAGCTTGACACATTGTAAAGACACCTGTCTATTGTTAAAGACCACAAGATGAACACCAGATGTCTTTCGGTTTTTCATGTTGCCGCGTGGGTTTCTGGCTCGTCGACATATACTTAACTTCTTTTTTTAATTTATAAATATATACATTTATTTGTATTTAAATTTTAGTCTTTTTTTTAAATGCATTGTATTTAAAGTATCAATCAAAAACTTCGAAGATACATTTATGTTTTTATCATCTTTGTAATTTTAATAAAATGGTGGTGGGTTCTTCATTGAGTGTAGTATCTATTATACTGTAACACAATTCATTTACTATGAGGGGCCTGATGGGGGGGGGGGGGGGGGGGGGGGTCTCATCACGATTCACGAGTTGATTTTTTTGTCAATCACGATTCACAGAAAATAAATTTCCATGATCACGGATCACGAAAATATAAAAAGAGTATAAATCTGTAGAAAAACGGATCACGATGGCGAAAATGCGCCGATCACGAAGAACGAAAATAACCCATCAGGCCCCTCTACTATAACATTTATGTTTCTGTTGGTTATGGTTTAATATTTTTTCATTGTATGTATTATACGCAACAAATAAAAGTATGTTTTCAACAAGAGTTATATTTATTCTTTTTTTATTCGAACAAGATTGATAAACTGTTTAACATTTTTACACAAGTATTCCCAATTCCAAACTTGAAAGAGTTGGTCCTGCTTTTTTTCATATAAAAGAACGAGCAACGTAGATACAAGTAATAAGTCTTATGGATATAAAAGAATGACGAAAGATACCAAAGGGACATTCAAACTCATAAATCGGACATAAACTGACAACGCCATGGCAAAAAAAAAAAAAGGTCCAAAAGATAAAAAAAACTTTACTCAAATCACAAATTGGAAAAATTAAGACTGAGCAACACGAGCCGCACCAAAAACCATGGGGTGATCTCAGGTGATTTAGAAGGGAACGCAGACCCTGCAGCTCCACATGTGGCACCCGTCGTGTTGCTCATGTAAGTACGAACCCGGTGATAGGTCTGATTCGGGTGGTCAAATCTTGTGAAATAAGAACGGGATTGTGGTTACGATGATTGAAACATATCTGTCGTCATCTGTGAAACGGTCAACCAGCTCGTGATGGCGTCCGTGAAATTTTCGAATGGATGATTTCAACTTCACCACTTGAAACTCTTTCCGTGTGAACAGCAACCCTCTATTAAAGAAATCATGATAGGAAACGCATTCTCTGGAATATCGTAAATCAGCTGGGAGATATATACTCAATATGCAAGCGCTGCTTGAATGTTGCTTCATTGAAATGCACGTTTTCTTTTTATTGTATATCGTACCAATCGGATGTGTCAAGTACGAACCCGGTGATAGGTCTGATTCGGGTGGTCAAATCTTGTGAAATAAGAACGGGATTGTGGTTACGATGATTGAAACATATCTGTCGTCATCTGTGAAACGGTCAACCAGCTCGTGATGGCGTCCGTGAAATTTTCGAATGGATGATTTCAACTTCACCACTTGAAACTCTTTCCGTGTGAACAACAACCCTCTATTAAAGAAATCATGATAGGAAACGCATTCTCTGGAATATCGTAAATCAGCTGGGAGATATATACTCAATATGCAAGCGCTGCTTGAATGTTGCTTCATTGAAATGCACGTTTTCTTTTTATTGTATATCGTACCAATCGGATGTGTCAAGTCCTTTCTTGTTGATGTTAACACTGTTCCAGGTTAGGGGAAGGGATCAATCACGTTAAAACCGGCACAATTAAAATCCCGTAAAAACCGGCACATTCTTTATGTGCCTGTCTCAATTCAGGAGCCTGTATTTCAGACGTTGTCGTAGGTTGTTGTCTGCCATACATTGTTTTCCATTATTGTTTTAAGCTTTATCAAGGCTGTTGATTTTCTCATGTTTTTATTTCTGATTTTTTTTATGCCGGAGGATTTTAAAGCTTTTCTTTCTCTAATTGTTGAGAGCCAAACGGTTACCTATAGTTAATCCGACTGGCCACGTTATTACTGGTGACCTTAACATTGTCATTAACACTTCACTGCGAAATGTGTTATCCAAATGCCCGAAATATCGTGAGCCTTAATCCATCAATTAGAAACACAACTTATAAATAATGATGGATTCAGTCAGGATTATGGCAGGTAATAAGTTTAACGCGAGAAAAAAGACGTAGATACTCTCTCCGAATGGATTACGGCTGTGAGGTCGTTGATACAAATCAGAATTAAAAAACTGAATGGGTTTATAAATACAGATGCTTCATCAATCTTTGAAGACCGAACTGTTGCAAAGCCCCTGTCCTACCGATACCGACATGAAAAATATGTTGTTTTAACTATGGGAACCAACTGTGCTCTTCTTCTTGTTGACTTGTTCCTTTATTCATATGAGACTGACTTCATACAGGAGCTTCTTAGGAAAAACGAAAAGAAACTAGACTATCCTTTAACTTCACTTTCCGCTATATAGATGATGTTCTCTCACTAAATCATTCAAAGTTTGATGACTATGTTGAACGCATATATCCCATCGAACTTGAAATAAAGGATTCCACATATACAGTTAAGTCTGCCTAATAGCTCGACTTACATATAGAGATTGAAAACGAGGGTCGGTTGGGAACAAAACTTTACGAGAAAAGAGATGATACAAGCTTCCCAATTGTGAACTTTTCATGCGCGTTCAAACAAAGCACAAAGTCCTGGTCTAAGAGTACTCGCATCTACGTATACTTAAAGCTTGTTCAAAGCTAATTTCATCTAATAAATACCCCATGTTTTCTTAGACAAAAGTATTAAATATTACACATCCAACGGATTTAGTGTAAAGACGTCATAAACAGTTTGAGAAAAGCAAGACCTTGTGCAATGAAAAAATATGACCAATAGGGTGTAGAACAATAAGCACATATAACTGCGGTGTCTTCCTCGAATGCCAACATTTTATATGTTACCTATTCCTTGAACGCCAACAAAAATATTTCAATAGATGTTTATATAAAACAATAGGTGTTTTTATAACTATTTAAATGTTTATATAAGTATTTAACTGTTAAAAATAATTAGTGAACTTGATAAAATTGCAACATTTTATCACTTTTTGATAAGAAAAAATAGTATATTTTGGGGTTAAAATTATTATGAATTTAAAGAAATAAAGAAAACTAAAACATTTTTATTACTTTCTATTAAAAAAAAGATATTTTGGGATGGAAAATCTTTATTAACATAAGACTTATTAGAAATATCAAAGAAATTTTAGTTAAATACAATTATTTCAAGCTGAAAAACGGATATAAGAGATTTGGTGGAGAAAATCTGGTTTCAATCTCTCCAAGACTTGGAGGATGCAGATACCTCAATCAACACCGCAAGATTTACTGACTACGTTACCGAGTAGTGGGTAGAAGGCAACCGTCATCTGTGGAACCATTACAACACTGTAGGACCAAGAACAACCAACAACTTAGAGGGGTGGCACTCAAAGATTAAGAAAATCGTCCAGACTCCACACTCAAATATCTACAAGTTGATCGAGCTGTTACAACGCCAAGAAGCTGCTTCCAGATGTCAAATGCTGCAGTACGCCGCCGGTGGTAAACGAATCAACAGAAAAAGAAAATGCAGAGAAATTGAGACCAGACTCGGTAACCTGAAACAGCGAAACGCCAACAGAGAGATGACATCTGTACAGTTTGCAGACTCAGCATCGTATCTTTTACACTTGTAATAGACTGTTAAATGTGAAAAGTGCTTGTATAAACTATTCAACAATTGTAATCAGATCAAATATATAGTGCTTTTTGTCAATCTGCTAAATGTTTGCTTATGTTATATGTATTGTTTTCTGTGTGCTCTGTGTACAAATAAATAATTTATTATTCAAAATTTATTTTTTTTCTTCTTTTTATGCTATGAAAAAAGTATGAAAATATCATCCACAACTCTACAAAGTTTCAAGAAAATCCATAAAATAGGGTAACAAGAATCCTGATGAGTTGCGAACATAACAAACATCTAAACAATGTATTATGAATCACTTACAATAAAAAAGGGTGTAATATTATAACCAAGAAAAATATCCTGAACAATTGAACAAAATAAAACATAGTAATCTAACACGAGATACAAAGTTTCAAGAAATTCCATCAAGTAAAATGGGTGGATATTACAGCACACACAACTATAGAAATATTGAAAAAAAAACATCAAAGTCCAAAGAGTCTATTGTAGAATTTTTGAAACTGGAATTCCTGACAATATGCACATGTTGACTTTGTGATGCAACACTTTTCAAAGTTTCATTTTAAGAGAATCCATATTTGTTCAAGCAGTAACAGCAAAAAATGATTTTCAACAACTTGACAAACATGGACTAGATTTAGCTACCTGTAATTTACCTATCTGTTTAATTAGTATGATTGTTTTGATAAGCATGCACTTTAGTTGTGATAACTACTTACACCTATTCCTCGAACGCCAACATAATTTTACAGGTAAATTGTCGGTAGATCAAAGGATGTTGGCATTCAAGGAATAAACCATAACTGCATAGCGATACATATTTTAATTAGTCATGCTTTAATCAATTAAACAAAAAAAAATCAATGTTAGTACTAATTAACACAATATTTGAATATTTGACTACAGTGTTTTGTTGATACACTTTGAGACAAGGTTAATTTAAATTTAAATTTGAGATGCCTCGAGCATCACTGAAAAGACATTGATTGTCAAAATGCGTATCTGATGCAGAAAAAATGGTACCGTTTATGTTATTAAAGGATAAATAAGTTAACATAGATCGTATCTAAATTGACGGGATCTGTAAACAATATTACCATAAGATTTAGACGTGAAATTCAGTTTGAAATAATGATTCTACGGCTCAGTCAACAAACGTCCAAATTACATCGTTGTATTTATGAAATAATTTGGTATCGGTCTCAAGTAGTGATAACGAAATTCCCGGCTAATGAAATTACTTATTTTAGCACATGTTATAATAGATTACGTTCATTGAAATTTAAAAACATTACTACAAACATGAGCATAATGAACGAGTAGGGAAATATACACATTGTAAGAAAGAACGGAAGAAACATCACCATATAGATAGCCTGGCATCCCGGCCCGATCTAGCTGCGCATATTGTACTTTGTATAAAACAACGAATCAAACTTGATGCTTTGGTATACTGGCAAGAAATTCGGATATTGATTGAAAAAATAGCTTTTTACAATTT